GCGCAGGCGAAGTCAGATTTTTGGAGCGCCAAGTTAAAATTAACCAATGAGCGATAGATTACGCATGTGTAGCTGGTTGCATTCTGTCAAAGCGGTTTGTTGTCACCAGAGATTTCTTAGTAACCTAGATACGGTGATCCTATGCAAAAGCGAACATACGTTCTTGGCCAACATGTACACTATGCGTTTTGCTTTCCATCTTCTTTTACAGCATGGGAACGCAGGGGTATGATTTTGTAGGTCTTTGTTTAAACCTAGCAATTTACGATTTTGCGCAGTAAACCCTTAAATTCTGCTAGCGCAAGTCGGTTCTTAATTCATACAATCGCCGGTGTTTGTGTTTGTTAGTTTGTTCTAAGAGATTTCTTAGGTTATAAGATTTATATCACGGTTATAAGTTTAAATTGCCTAGAATTTCTAAAAATGGGTTACAGAGTGTATGTTGTATGCAAAGAAAGATCTAATAATTCTTTTGTTTCGCAAAAATATTACAAAGATTTTTAATAATCCCGACATGAACAATCAGTGCATTTCTCAGGGATTACTAGATAATCGCAAAATACAATTGATGAAGGCAATAGCGCAAATTTAAAATTATTAATTTAAAAGTCCGCTTGCAACACGAAGCAAAACTGGTAAATTTTGCTTCAAAACAGGCGAAAATAAGAAGTAAATTAGTAAAATACATTTTATTTAATAATGAGTAACTAAGATTACATTAAATCACCAATATTTACTAATAATGTTAATAAATTTATACCACAGCTGTACGTCTTTTTTCTTTTTCATTTTAAGCTCTCAACATTGTGCATGCAAATAAATACAATACGATTCTCTATTTATGTTAGAAACGTTCGTGGCAACAAAAACTTTTGACTATAAGAAAATTGTATTATGTCATTTTTCAAGAGTTTCGCCGGTGTGAATGATAAAGAAAAAGTACGAAAAAAGGGAAGTCGACAGTCAAATTTATTCCAACGATCTTGTCCGTGTAATATTTTAATCTTAACATTACAAATCATTTTGGAGATTGCTTAGAAACTTTTCGTTTGCCACTTGTTAAAAAACTCGAGTTATGATTCTCTTTTATACCATTTTAAATCAGTGCACCAAATTATCAACCAATGTTAACAGTCGCTAGAATTAGACGAAGATAACACTAGTATGTGGTGCACATTACAACGAGTAGGAGAAAGAACTGAAAGTATGTCGACACTATTTTCATACATGTTGTTCCACACTCTGCTGCCCATAGCCGTATCTAGGTACTAAGAAATCTCTGGTTGTCACAGGCCTTTGCTCTGCTGCCGGAGTGCCGGATACGTGGTTTTGAACATGCGTGCGCACGGTAAGTCACTATGGAAGTTTTACGGTCTTACAGGAAAAGGGTCAATTGAAAACAGCTACTACTATTTTATTATTAACGTTTGAACCAAATTTTTGTGTTGGCAATTCTGAATTATTGGCAACAATGCTGACATGTTAACTTGGTGTTATAAATTTCAAATTGACAGTCAGGTGTGCCATCATAAAATTTTAGATGTCACCAACCTCACAAAAAATTAAAATTTTCTGTCACTTGTTATAGATCAATATATTAATTAATTGTAACCGTGCATCAATTGCTATTTTGTTTTATTTCTGGGGCGTTTACATATTCAAATTAATAATGTAGTAATTTCAGACAACTTGAGAACACACTCTTCTGGGAAATGATTGACTTAAAATGAAAAAAATTAATCACATAATTATCTTTCCACTTTAACAGGACCAATTTTTATCAGTAATATCCCCAATTATAATACAGCGCATAAAAGCTATAAAAATCCAGTTATTATATTTGTTTTACAAATTTATTTATGTTAATTATATTAAGTTTGATGTCCGCCTAGATACAACTTTCTGGTGAAATATTTTGCAAACTTACGGGAGACATATCTGCATAAACAAAAACTTACCACCAAGGACCTAGTGTCCTATATAAGCTTTACACATCCTTATCCTGACATACACAATTTCAACAACTATTCAACAATCACCTACAAGACTTCAATAATCTACCATCATGAAATACATGGTAAATTTATTTATTTATTTTTTCTTTTGTTATAGATTTTTCATTTTTTGTTTATAGATCGTTGCTGTTTTCTTCGTTTTGGCCATCGCTGCCTCCTACGCCCAAATCCTTACGTCTGATTTGAATGGCGGCTTGGTTTCCCCATTGGGGGTGGGAGTAGCTCCTTTGGGTGGAGGACTGGTCGCTTCTCCATGGGCTGCTGGACCTCTTGTTGGGGGCATTTTATAGAAGATTACTCAGCCTACAATACGACATCATTGCCTGCGTTCCAGTTATAATTTTTTAAATTATTGTAAAAAAGGGGGGAACGAGTTGTACAATATGTATATAATAAAGAGGCTATTTTTCTAAATTTTCGTATTTTTATTAAGACTACACTATTCAAACCAAAACAAAATATCGCAATACAAAATTAAATTACCCGCTTTTATAAAGACGGACGAAAATTTTTAATGATTTCATTTTGAACTTTGACAAGTTTTTTTTTTCGTATTTCTAATAAACCATATTACAAGCAAAAAAAATTAAAAAATTAACTTCTATAATAACTAAAAATAAAATAATAAGGGCATTTTGTAGTCAGGTCCAAGTTAGTGCTAAACAGAAATCGAATATATTGATAATAAAATTCAATAAACAATAATAATATGATGATTTAAATCCACTCAAAATATTTCTCCAGCACACTCTAGTCGGAAAATTTTTTCTACAAAAATCCAAAACATCAATTTTAATAAAAAATATAAATTACCGTTTTCGTATAAGGATATTTACACTAAACCCATGTATTACACACACGTCACGAGTTGGATATGTAGGTATTGTTTTTCCAAACGTGGCACAAAGACATCAGCTGATAAATTAATCAGGAAACGAAAATTACTTATTTTATTATTATTAATGAGAAGCATTGACATTCTACATTAAATGTTTATTTATACCTGATCAAAACAATCTGGTGTAATCATTCGTAAAGTTGCAAGATTTTTACAGTAGTAGGTCACACTGAGAACTTCAGCAAACTAGCTTACCACAAAAAAAAATATATTGCTGCGTGCGGTATTTTATGTGCTTCGGAAACGACGAAAATACTTTGTAAATAATGTTACAATTTTTTTCTCCGCGTCATCTTAATGTATACTGGATGTATACTAACGTGTAAAAAAAATGCATTATTCTTTGGTATGGTTTATTTACAAAAACACATATATCGAAGAGAGAGAGAGCGAGAGAGAGAGAGAGAGAGAGAAAGAGACTATATATTTTTGAGTATACTTAATACTGATTTATGTAAAAGTAGGTAGCTTTTTTTCTCGATTCTGGTCTCAATATATTTTTTTTTAACAATTTAGTTAATTTTAGCCCACATTGCTATTTTTTAATATTATGGAAGCTATGGTACGTACTTCCGCATATTCAAATGTCTTATGTTAATTACATTGTTTGTTTTATTAAATTTAACTGCCAATTTATGCAATTGTAACAAGTTGATGTCCACTTGACGCAACACTGTTGAAACAATTCAAAAAATTGCGCTAGAAACTTCACCCAAAAATGCCAAAAACACCCATTTTCAAGGATACTGTGTCCTATATAAACTACAACTGATGTCCATACCATCAGAGAAAAACACAAGCAGCCTTACCAATCGTACCAAGAAGTGTCTACCTAAATACTTCAAAATGAAAACTATCGTAAGTACTTTTACTAACAAAATATCCTCGTACCATCTTTGACTGTTCTTAGATCCTCGCTTTCTTCTTCGCCATGGTGGTCGCTATGGCCTACGGAGGAGTCATCGCCACCCCATGGGCCGCGCCCTTGAGCGCCGGATGGGCTGGCGCTCCCATCGCTACTTCCTGGAGTGGCGGCGTCGTCGCCTCCCCATGGAGTGCCGCCGTCTGGTAAAAACCCCCAAAACCACAACTATGTACAAAACCCAATAAACTATATTTTTGTAAAAAAACGACTTTCGCTACTCATCACACCTTTATTTACTAATGATGACAGAAATATACACAGTGAACTCCAGATTTATAATAGATGAACTAACCTAAAAAGTTGACCGTATCACCACAACTCAACCCTGGTAACCGCCGCCGTGTCCACCGTAGTTTCCGAAACCTGATCCTCCACCTCCAGCCGAAAATCCGGCGTAGTTTCCATAATTACCATAACCGCCGCCAAATCCACCCCCGCTGCCTCCGCTACCACCGCTGCCCCCTCGGCTACCTCCACTGCCCCCAGAGTTCGAACCCCCGGCACCGGAGTAACTGGTAACGGGGTAAACCCCGTTACCCTGAGCTACAGGTACGGTGTGGTAGGTCCTGGCTGAGTAAATGGTGGAAGCTGCTACGGTACCACTGGGAGAACCACCTGAGGCGTGGAGAAAACCACCATCGACGGAGTTTATGGTAACGAAGACGAACAAGAACACACACTGGAATTTAATTAATTTAGTTAACAATGTTTAAATTAGTTGTAAGAACTTACCACTGCTAAGGCCTTCATGGTTAATATTATTGTGACGACTTGTACTTCAAGTGATGGTGTTTGGGTCGCGATTTTCATTTATATACTAGTTTGTGGAAATGTGATATTCTTCAAGTACTTGTTTCAATGCAATACCGTGGCATGGATCAGTTACGAGTTTTACCAACATTGTGCACAATTTAGGGGTCATGTAAAAGTGACCTATTTGTGATGGTACCATTTCAGAACAAATAATAATTTAAATTCTTTAGTATTCAGTGTATGAAATGTGAGTCGATGTTACGTCACTTTATTTATCAAAGTCCAAAATTTGGTTTTAGACAAGGTTATAACACGCACGAGGAAAAAAACTCGTAGTACTTAAACTCAAATTTTATTGACATAACATTTAAAACACAAAATATGGTTAAAATAATACCCACAACCACTCTCTAAGATTACACTTTTTCAAAATCCAGCCAAACTCCTCCTTCAACGTAAGAAAAAAATTTTTTGACATCCAGCTGAATGGGAACTTTGGTCTTCGTGTTTAATGTAATTTTGTAATTTTCCAAAAGAACGCACAGAGCCAGTTTACCCAAAACCATGGCAAATCGAAGTCCTACATCATGTCTTTATTAAAAAACTCAAAAATAAAACTAAACGTACCTAAACACATCCTTTGTCCTTTCCCAAACCCTAGCCACGCAATATCCGGTCTTCCTTCTTTATTTTTGTTGGAAAAACGTTCAGGATCAAATTTTTCCGGGTTTGGGTAGTACTCAGGGTCATAGTGCACACCCACGATGGAAATTTTAACAGAAACCCCTTTCTTTAAACGAATAGAAGTATTAGGAATAGTATAGTCACTATTGCACTTTCTTTGCAATATTCTTCCAACTGGATGCTTTCTTACAGTTTCTGGAACACAAATTTAGTGTAAATTTTGGGCTACTCCAACCTATTTTACCTTGTAGTACTTTATCCAAGTACTTCATTTCAGCAATAGTTTTATAAGTGAGCTGTCCTCCATGTTTGGACAACACTGAGTTTATTTCCTCTTTGACTTTTTCTTGTATCTTGAAATTGTTTGCCAGTTCATACAAAGCAAAAGTTATCATTGAAGAAGGTGCTTCAAAGACAGCAAGAAAGAAAGCAAAAACTTGCGCCGTAACTTGATTCAAGTTTAATGGTTTTTCGTGCACGGAACTGTTATTCTTCATTTGAAGAAGCAACTGAAGAAAATCTTCTCTGCGTGTGTTGTTTTTCTCTCTATAGTTTATTACACGATCGATTAGTTTTATGAAGAACTGCTCCAAATCGGTTCCAGCTAATTTAAACTTTATAGCGCATAGTAAAGATTTAGGTAGTATTTCCGCTAGCATGATCTTCATCATACGAAAACCATTACTGTCAAAAAAGTTCTTGCAATAATTGTTGATATCTGATTGTGGATTTTTCAAAACCTCCCACTGTAACCCTAGTGCTGTTTCTCCAAAAACATCAACACAAAATCGTCCTAGCACTTCTTTAACATCCACTGGTACTCGTTTAATAGCTGCTTCATCCACAACGGTTTTTAGGTCTTCAGCGCAGTCAAGCAAAGACGGAAACATAAGATTCAACTTATTTGGAGAAAAATTTCGTGTTAATTTCGTTCTAAGATTCTTCCACTTATCATCGTGCATACGAAACATGTTTTCAGATAGAGGATCGCCTTCTTCATTTAAGTAAGTAGTACGGTTAGTAAAATGTTCAAAATCATTTTTTAGTATATGTTTGATTATTTTTAAGTCAGTTGGGACGTACACTGGGTGTAGAAACATATACACTCCACCGTGTTTAAATCCATTTGACTTGAATTTCTTGTAACATTCGTAGTAAAAGTCACCTTCGGAGCAGCGCCCCAGTAGGATGTCTTTCATGTTACCAAAAAAGAACGTGGGGTGCAGCATTGGGAGACCTACTCTAACCCAGTAGAGAAATTTCCATTTCGTATATAAAACTATTATTGCGATGCAGATGGTTATAGAAGTAGCTACAAAGATAAAAGCGACAGATGAAGTGGACAAAGCCATGCTGGATTTAGCTTGCACAACTGAGTAAAACAAGACTTCTTTGTTCTGTACTGACACGCACAAGCGTTTTATTAGTTTCTACCGTATAATTTTCGTGCGATAAGTCGTAAAATAATGCTTTAAAATTCGGAGCACACGCTTGTTTTATCTTTATCAAAGTAAAAATTATTTCTTTGTTTGGTCGTAGCTAAATGTAGGCTTTTATGACATCTTATCAAACTAAAAATGTTATCATTATCATGTGCCAGTTGTTGAATACCTAATTAGAAGTAGTTTCCACCTGAATATTACGCTATCCATCATTTACGCTTATTTTTTATCCTTAATCAGTCGTCAGTCGTTTTTTATCGACTTTTTTCACTTTTATGTAAATTTTTTGCCCCTTTTGGGCGCGGCTTCGTGCCGCCACTGGCATCGAACCCACTAGTCTCAAATGTCAAAAACGTCCGCTCCTCCTAACCTCAAATTCGCTTTGAAATTCGTCAAAACCCATTTCTTCGCGGCGACTCCCATTCCAAAGGCCCCATGTAGTTGCAGAGGGAATGTGTAGCCACTAGACCCATCAAAATGGCGAACTTGAAGCCCGGCGGTCAAAATCCGCGAAAAAAAGTGCAGGCAAGTTGTTTACATCCCATTATTTACATAACACCCATTTCCGACCAACATGTGCAGGTTTCGATGGTAATATGCGAAGCGGAAGAGAAGAGACACAGATCTGGAGTGAACGCTTTACAGATAGATCCAGCATTGGACCGGTTGTACTCTGCTGGAAGGGATTCAATCATACGGGTGTATGAGCATGAACGTTACCTCCATGGTATGGAGCACCATACCGACTGGGTTAACGACATAGTATTATGCTGCGGAGGCCGTCATTGTAATAATACTACAAAATTTGAGAACTAGTTTTACTTGATTTGGTTTGTTTTAGTAATCTCAGCTAGTTCAGACACCACAGTTAAAGTGTGGAACGCCCACAAGGGTTTTTGTATGTCAACTCTGCGAACACATAAAGACTATGTGAAAGCTTTAGCTTACGCGAAAGATAGAGAGCAGGTGGCTTCAGCAGGTTTAGACAAGTCTATTTATTTGTGGGATATCAACACACTGACAGCTTTAACTGCTAGCAATAATACAGTCACAAGTAGATAATTTTGTAGTGGTTTTGTGTGATCTAATTTGGGGTTTTAGCTTCTAGTTTAATGGGGAGCAAAGAATCCATTTATAGTTTAGCAATGAATCCTCCTGGAACTGTTATAGTTAGTGGATCCACAGAAAAAGCGTTACGGTTGTGGGATCCCAGAAATTGTGTTAAGTTGTTTAAGTTGAAGGGACATGCAGATAACGTGAAAGCGTTAGTTGTGTCAAAGGATGGTAGTCACTGTATCTCTGGAAGCAGTGATGGGTCCATCAAAGTTTGGAGTTTGGGAGGACAGAGGTGTATCCAGACAATTAGAGTCCATGGAGACTCTGTCTGGGCACTACTCGCCACTGACTCTTTTAGCCATGTTATTTCTGGCGGGCGGGACAAGAAGGTATTTTTTTCAATGACACTAGAATGGTGTAGAATTTATTGCTTAATTATTGCTTCAGGTGATAATGACTGACCTCAAAAACCCTCAAAATAGTGTAGTAGTGTGTGTGGAGGAGGCCCCAGTGTTGAAAATGTGCTTCACAGCTGACCAACAAGCAGTTTGGGTGAGTTTCCACCTCATACAAAAAAATACTATCTTTAGGGATTTTCTTGTTGCAACTAAAACAATACCATTTCAGGTCTCCACCTCAAACTCAAGTATTCGCTGTTGGAAATTGCCAACTGAAAAACATTTCAAAGAAGAGGCGAAGATGCCGACGTCACCGATCTCATTGATACCAGGTGGCGCTGCAATCCGTCAAGCGGTGGTCCTCAATGACAAAAGACACATTCTAACCAAAGATGCCAACGAAAATGTCGCACTCTATGACGTTTTAAGGGTTTGTACTATAAAAAAACGTACGTCTTAGTAACGTAAATCGTACTATTACGCAGGCGCGCAAAGTCGAAGACTTAGGGCAAGTCAATTTCCAAGAAGAAATAAAAAACCGGTTCAAAGTGGTTCACGTCCCGAATTGGTTTAACGTAGATCTCAAAACGGGGATGCTGACGATACACTTGGGTCAAGACGAGGTTGACTGTTTTTCTGCGTGGGTCTCGGCTCGGGACGCCGGAATTCGGGATTGTCCGGAGCCCGACCAGAAGGTAAACTACGGGAAATTGTTACTGCAGGCGCTGTTTGAGCACTGGAGAGGCGTGGAGAAGGATCCTGAAAATAAGTTGTATTTTACGGTCCCGAAACATATTCCTTTGATACTGAGGTAAGCGTTTTTTTTTTTAATGAGTGACTATACTAAATTTGAAATTTTAGTGAGGTTGGTGGGCGTACGCTGTATAGAGTGTTAGTCGGGGACACGGTAGGTGATACTGAGAATGCTCTCCTAAACGAAACTGTACCCAACTGGGTTATTTCAAATATCGAGGAAAATTGCACAGGGAAGTTCATAAAAGTGCAGTTTTATCTTCAACCGCACGCGTCGGTTCCTTCCCACTTGCTGAAACAAGATAGACTGAAGAAGGTGAGTCTTTGGAGTGACTAGCGTGTTGGTGATTTTTGTGTTTCAGCCGGATCGGTTGGTAGCTAATGATTTTATCCAGTGTCGGAAAGTAGCGGAACACATTTTGGAGAAGCTGCTAGGTGATGGTAACGCAAGTTCTCCGGGGGGTGACGCAGACTCCACCACGCCTACTAACAACGGTTACAACGTTGACCAAATCGAACTCACTTGTAACGACCAGATCCTCGACCCCGCTATGGATTTACGAACTGTTAAACACTTTATTTGGAAGTCTTCGGCCGATTTGACACTACATTACAGGATTGTTAACGCTAAATAAATTTCATTCCATTTTTAAAGTTTTCATCGTTTGGTGGAAATGCGTTGTGACGCTACTGGAGCTCCATCAGAACGACAGTTTTTACGAGTAGATATTTTTATTAGTCTCCACTGGTCTATATTATATATTTGTTATTTACAACAGTGTAAGTTTTATATTAAAAATGAAAATTTCCTTGTTTTTTCATTTCGCTTAGACACGCCCGACGAGCGCACTTCAAAATTCCTGTCAAGCATGAGTTTCCGGAAAAAAGTCAGGTCATTAGTCAATTCCATCAGAAAAATATTCTCGTTTACAGCAGTCACTAACACAGATCAACTTTGGCAAGAATTTCAATCACAAAACGTGGTGATGCTGTGGATAGTAGGTCCACTATTTTCCGGCAAGAAATCACTGGCCTCTTATTTGACAGAGAACAGTACTCTTCGACTTCTCCGCACAGAATCCACACAAACAACGAATCATGAGCCAAGAAAACACATCATCAAAAGTACGATCTATCAGCTAAAGCAAGAAATAAAAAATAACTTCAAATTTTGTTCAGGATTCATTGTAAGTGACTTTCCTGTAAAGATGAGCGAAATACTAGAATTCGAGAATAGCATTTGTAAGCCCTCTGTAGTTATTTGTATAGAGTCTACTCTTGACGCGACTCTGGGACGAGCTTTGGTTTACGATCCTGCTGCGGATTTAAACGAAATTAGGGTGCAGTACGTGGTGGAGAACAAGTTTATGGAAAAAATATTGCGTAAATACTCAAAAGAAAACAAAGCCCGCAGAATTTTTTCGCGCTATCCGATACACGAAATGCACGCGAAGGTCGTAGAAATTTTAGAAACGGAGTTTTCTTGCAAGTTCAAATAGATTTTTGAAATAAGTGTCAAATAAAAATTCAAACTCGAGCACTGTGTGTGTTGTCATTCACGGTCTCCAAGACGACTCGTTGTCATGGAGGAGGTCACCCTTAACCAAGTAAACAAGTAAACAATCACCAGGTGAGAGCCACGCAATGACGGATTTTAACAAAAAATTTATAATAAAAGCCGCAGGTAAATCTAATTGTTGCTAGAAAATCGAACTTATTTTTGGTTTTGTGTTAGAGTGTCATTTGGGGGCTTCGTTGTCGGAGGAAACATGGGATAAAGACATACGCGGCCTAGATGACGTGGACGGGTTCCTCGGGGACCCTAACAAGCTGATTTTATATGCTTTCATTGAAGAACTAAACGACAGAAAGAAAATTAAATTTGTCGATCAGATTGAACATGCCCGTGATAACAAGATCGTGGTTTTTAGCAAAAATAAACCCTCTGTTTTGACCGATGATAACATATTTGGGTCGCTGCAAATTACGTCTGTGTCTGGGCCACCAACTCTGGCGTTGTATCACACCTTAAATAATGTTTTCACGCCACTTTTGATGCAGGTATGCAGGTTTTGTTACCTCAGCTACGCTTCCAATTTGTGATATATATTCGATTTAGACAAGCTCACCGGAAATTCAACGACACGTGGCTAATTTACAAGCGGACTTAAGATCAACATTGCTATCTTCTACAAATGAAGACGACATCAACTACTCAAATCTTATTTCTACGAATGGTAACGTCCCAAACATATTTTAAGCACTGAAATTACCAAAAATCTACAGTTGTAGAGTCACTAGAAAACGAAGTTGAATACTGGGACAACATCTCCCGTTCTTCGAAAAATAGGCTCAGTCGCAGCAACGCCGCCTCATTTAGTGACATACTGAGACCTATATCAAAAGACTTCAGGTAATTTGAACCCATTTAACAGCAAATTTTCTAAAAAAAGTATTAGTATTATTGAAGCTTTGCCGCTAAATGAAGTCGAAGAGCTTCTAGAAAACGCTCACGGAAAATTAGATGATCTATGGCGCCACGAACCGCAACCCTACCCAGCCGAACGTATGACACACCTAATGGACTTGATAGGTTTTAGCCCATCACAGTGTTGGAAATTATTACGTTTAAATTTTTAGCCAAGGACGTGAAGCGTTCCATTTCCAAACAATTATCCGACTGTGACATTTGGACTGATAATTACACCACAGTAGCGGAAATTTTGACGCAATGTATCGCAATTGGTGAACGCTGGTTGAAGAGTTGTAAGCAACTAACTCAGATATTTTGGCCTAACTATTCTTCCAATATGTGGAAAGAAGAAATGTACGAACCTCCAGACTTAGTCAAACTTGTGGACAGACTTCGAGAAGTAAGTTTTTACCTTTTGAGGATGGTAACTCACTTGGGTTCGTAGATACTCAACATCCAAACACTTCTGAGACAGTTAACGCGGTTGTTGACTCCACAAGAACAAGAAGAGTTGAAAACGAACGACATGTTTAAAGATTTCAAAAGTAATACTTGTAGTTTTATTTTCTTACATCTATATAAGTTTTTTGTAGATCTTAACATTTTTGAGTTTGGTCAGTACTCGACTAACCTGTGGTTGAAAGTTTGCAAACAATTCGAATATTTACTCCAACCAGCCGAAGAAAAAGTCGCTATTAAACTAAAAAAACAACTATCAAGCATCGACGCCAACACTCGACAGCTTCTTCACGAATTCACCCGATATTCTGCTCTTATTAGTAGACCTATTCTAAAGCAAACCCTTCTAGCGGAGCGTCAACACTTGCTAAATTCTCTGTACGACTACGTACGACATCTCCAATCTCAAAGCACTTCTGAAAACACACTGTACACCAGATATGACACACCTCAAGTTGTCGCCGATGTGATTATCGCAAAACAGTTAGAAGCTAAAGCCAACGAGGTGTTACAAACGTCACAAAAACTATTAGAAGATCTCAAAGGTTTTGAAAGTTTGCAACAAATGGTGACTGAATTGTTGAAAGATCTGAAACAACAACACGCCGAGCTTTTTGACTCATGGACCAGCGAAATTTCGTCTTTGATTAAACAAGGGGTTTTGACTTTGAAAGAATCTGATCCGGTTGTGCAGTTTTCTAAAGATAATAAATTAATGAGGGTCAATTATTCCGACCGTTTGGTGACTTTGATTTCAGAAGTTCGTCAGTTTAAGGCTTTGGGTTATCACATTCCGAGTCACATTGACCAAACTAGTGAGCACGCGAAGGAGTTTATGAAATTGGCAAGGGTTCTAGAACAGGTATTTGAAACATATTTCTAGAAAGTTTCTATGTTTGGGTTGCAGATCGCCAATTTTCATAACACTATCGGTAGTAGGATGATCAAGAGTCAGAGACCGATGATGCTGGCTAGTGCGCTTGAACTTTCACGTCTGGTTCAAGAGGAAAAAGTTGTCTCTTGGGAAGACACAAAGTCGGTTGAAAAGTACGTGGATACGTTGAAAAGTGCAGTTGAAAAGTTGTCAAAAGAGAATAATTTATTGGCTTCGTACTACTACCAAATTATGGACAAAGTATTAAGATCTTTAAATTTCATTGTTTTGCTAACTTAATTTCACACTAATTGTAGATCAAGTCTCTTGAAGATGTTGACTTAATCAAAGACTACAGTAAATGGAAAGACGCTACTAAATACATGAGAAACATCATGTCCCAAGTCGAAGAAAAGGGTTTCAAAAACATGCAAACGTGGAAAGTCGATGTTGACACAAATCTGTGCACAGTACTAGAGAAACAATACATTAGAAGCTTAGACACTCTTCATTTATATCTGCCGGAAATCTACACCGATATAATCTATCGAAAGTCTGAGTTACAGTTTTCTCCAGACCAAACTGTCCTAATGGAAAAATATCAACACCAACTAAAAAAGTTCTTAGACATTCCGAAATCGTTTCGCGGGGTTTCGGAAAATTCTGACCACAATATGTTCGCTGATATTGTCGGTAGGAGCCAGAAAGATCTAGAAAAAGTGAATAAGCACACGGAGGATCTGTTTGAACAACTGGGAAACGTTTTAAAACACTGGCAGTCGTGGCTTCAGTTAGATTCCCTTGATGTTAGTAAACTGACAAGTTGGCAGCACTGGGATCTACATTTCAGAGCTTCTAAAACCTTTGGACAAGAAATAGCTAAATTGCCAAGGTATGCGATTTATTTGACACTATAGCAATTTTGATACACAATTTTAGCACGGAAGAAAGAGTAGGATGCTTCTTAATCGGTCTATCTAGACTGCGTTCAGACCTAGAATCCCACAACAGAAGCTACTGGGATCAACTAGTCCTTTCCCTTAAGGACTCCATCGCACAAGACGTCGTCAAACTCCAGAATTACGTCGATCCTTCAACAGCCATTCTCACAAAACAACCAGTAACTCTAGAAGAAGTCGGAGAATCTGGTGCTGCGCATGCCAACATTTTAAAGCAAAGATCAGAGGTAGAAATTCTAGAATGTTGACAACTTCTACTTCTGGTGTTTCAGATGGAAGAATGCTACAACCAGATGATTCAGAAATCCCAGACTTTGTCCAGCTGGACACGAGAACAGGTTGATTCCGTCAACCGTTTGAAAGGGGCGTGGGAAAGACTTCAAAGTCTTCTAGAAAACCATCAACACATCATTGCCAAACAAATGGCGACTATTAAGACAACCCTAAACATTGAAAGCGAAAATCTGGACAAAGAAATAGAACGGTTTAGTGCAAAGTGGGAGCAAATTAAACCCAAACCACACACTGGTCAAATCGCCGATCAAAATATCGACGAGTTGCATAAACAGTTGACTGGTATTAAAGAGAAGAAGGAGCAGTGGCACGAACTGATGCTAAAGAAAGAGAAGCTTTTCGCTGACTATGATAAATTCGATATTGAGAAACCTGAGATTATGTTGGTCGAAGAGCTAGAAGCCGACTTGAACAGAGAAGAAAAGTCGTGGACGCTTTTCGAGGAGTTTTATAACGAATTGGAAGCTTTGACCAACGAGGACTGGATAGTCTTCAGGAAGAAGATCTACCGGTTTGACGACTTTCTGTCAACCTGGCAAACAAAACTGAAGAATGCGTCTCAAGGGAGTGACTTAGAAATGAGGATCTTGCAAGAAATACACAAATTTGAAGTAAACCATTTTAACAAAAGACGACAATACACTTTTTTACGTGTTTAAGGGTATGGTTGGTTGTTTGAAATATGTAAAAGGTGAAGATTTTACCGACAAACATTGGATGGACGTGTTCAGTCTCCTTCAAATGCCACTGAAGCCTTTAGATGACTTGAAATTCAAAAACTTTTTAGACGTTTCAGACAAATTAACTTCTTCGGTCAAAGAACTACAAGTAAGTACGGTTTGTCGGGTTCACGTAACTCGAGTGGACTATTCTAGGCAATCTGTAAAAAAGCTGCAAGCGAAATTGTGGTTCGACAAGCTCTAGCAGAACTCGATCAGTGGGACGTTCAAGCCAGATTTATTCTAACAGTCCACACAGACTCTAGAAGCAAAAACGTCAAGCTGGTGAAAGACTTCAAGGAGATTTTAAGCAAAGTAAGTACTAAGAACATTTCCCCAAATTTACACAACAAAATCAATTTAGATCGGAGACAACCAAAGTCTGCTCCAATCTGTCAAAAATTCCGCCGATTATGAAAGCTTCTCAGAACGTGCAAGCTTATGGGAGAACAAACTCGCAGTCCTTGACCAAAATTTGTCTCTATTGGCTCAAATCCAGCGCAAGTAATCATCTACTAACACTTTAGACCACAATTTACCTTGTTTCGTAGATGGGTTTACTTGGAACCCATTTTCGGAAGCGGGACTTTAATCCAAGAAAAGTCCAGGTTCGATAAAATCGACAAAGACTTCCACCACGTGCTCATCTTCATTGAAAAAGATCCTCGAGTTTCTTCTTTATGTAGATACCCAAACCTGAGCGCAATTTTGAAGAACCTTCAAGACCAGCTGAACCGTTGCCAAAAGAGCTTGGATAATTTTCTTATGGTTGTCAATCGAGAATCACTGAGAACCAACTCATTTTTTTCTTTTAGGAAAAACGTAACAAGTTTCCGCGGTTTCTCTTTCTAGGCGATGACGATCTTCTAGAAGTCGTTGGCCAGTCGTCTAAAGAACAAGTCATTCAAGCGCACCTCAAAAAATTGTTTGCTGGAATTAACACGATCCAGTTGAATGATGACGGTAGCAAGATCATCGCGATGTGTTCGCTACAAGATGAAGTCGTACCTTTAGCCAACCCGATCAATATAAATAGACCCGTGGAAGACTGGCTCAACTCTTTAGTAAAAGAAATGCAATCCACACTGAAGGAGCTTTTGGTTGAGTGTCTCAGCGAAGGCCAAAACGCGGATCCTCTTAAATACCCTTCCCAAATTTTGTGTCTTGCTGATAACATTACGTTCACACTTAAAGTCGAACAGGCGATAGCTAACATGACTCTACCGCCGCTCCTGGCGTACTACAAAGCCCAACTAACTCACTACAGCTCTTTGGAATTAAGTGCCGGCGAAGAAACGTCTTTTGCTTCAATGAACCTGAGCAAGAATGACGACAACAATACTTTAGAACTTAAACTGAAAGCTCTTCTTCTGGATACCATACACCACATTGACGTTCTTGGTGAACTCCTCGACGTCAACGTAACCAAAGTTACTGACTGGGTTTGGCAAAAACAACTACGGTTCTATTCCAACTCAACTGGTGAAGTCACCGTCAAAATGGCGAACGCCCGAATGGACTACGCGTACGAGTACCTTGGTAACTCGCCAAAACTAGTTCGCACTCCTCTTACCGACCGCTGCTTTTTGACTTTAACCCAAGGAATGCACTTGGGTATGGGTGGTAACCCGTATGGTCCAGCGGGTACTGGCAAAACCGAATCAGTGAAAGCTCTGGGTGGTCTTCTAGGAAGACAAGTTCTAGTGTTTAATTGCGACGAAGGCATAGATGCTGCTTCTATGGGTAGAATTTTATCCGGATTGGTCCGAAGTGGCGCTTGGGGCTGCTTCGACGAGTTTAATCGACTAGACGAAGCCACTTTATCTGCTGTATCCATGCAAATACAACCCATACAAATCGCTTTGAGAACGAACCAAGCGAAACTAATTCTTCTAGACCAAGAAATTGTCGTCAACAAGCACTGTGGCATTTTTGTCACTTTGAACCCTGCTGGTGGAAGTTACGGCGGTCGAAACAAGCTGCCTGATAATCTAAAACAGTTGTTTAGGCCAGTGGTGATGACCCATCCGGACCATGAACAAATTGCACGAACTTTGCTACACTGTGATGGTTACGCGAACGCCGACATCATTGGGAAAAAACTGATCGAAATTTTTGATTCGTCGAGTAAGTTGTTAAGTAAGCAACAACACTATGACTGGGGTCTTAGGGCTATAAGAACCATTCTGACTGGCTGCGGCAGGGCTTTAAAGTTACACAGAAAGAAAACTGAAGAAGCGGAAGGTAACCAGTTGTTTGTTGAACTTACTTTGGTTGTTAAAGTGCTAAGAATGGACACTTTATCAAAACTGACGTTCTCTGATAGCGTCAAGTTTGACGGATTAATCAAAGACGTGTTCAAAGATGTGGTTGTTGAAGACATGGGAAACGAAATCCTTGTCAAAGCTTTGGAAGAAAGCTGTCAAGATTTGGCACTTGCGGTTAACCAAAGACAAATTGACAAGTGTTTAGAATTGTACGAACAACTGAAACAACGAATGGGAGTGGCTATTGTCGGACCACCCAGTTCTGGCAAAACTTCAGTACGAAATTTGCTCTTCCAGGCTTTACACAAAATGGGGAAAACGCTCAAGCAACACGTCTTTAACCCGAAAAGTATGCAAAAAACTGAGCTTCTGGGTCAAATCGACTTAGATACCAGACAATGGTGCGACGGAGTTTTAACTCTTTACAGTCTTCAAGTAACCTCGGAACCTTCAGGTAAATGTTTGTTTACATGTAACCAACATTGACAGTTGTTATAGATACGTGGTCATGGATTGTCTGCGATGGTAACATCGACCCGGAATGGGTGGAAGCTCTAAATTCGGTCCTTGACGACAACCGCCTCCTATCTCTACCGTCCGGTTGGAGAGTCCAATTTGGTCCCAATGTCAACTTCATATTTGAAACACATGACTTAAGTAACGCTTCACCTGCCACGATCTCAAGAATGGGTATAGTTCTACTTAGTGAAGAAGATCTAGATTTGGACTCGTACATCAACAACTATGTTAAAACACAGCCTGAAGAGTTTGAAACTTTGTTAGGATCATACATTAACGACTATTTTCTCAAGAGTGTCCAGTGGGTTTGTAATGAGGGTGAAATTGGTATTCCGTGCTCGAAAATCGCCGTTGCTAAAACAGGACTTTCGCAGTTGTTTGAAGTTGGAAGCAAAAGTCAATTCGCTGTTGCTCTTATCAATGGTTTAGGGCAACAACTTCAGTGCGACTTTAGAGAACTCTTTGCCCAACAGATTTACGACTGGATGGGGGAAGTCCCACCACCTATGCTACTAAAGTCGCGCTATAACAACGACCGAGATATGATAGACACCTATTATACCAATCCCAACATGAGTATAGACGTTGCCACCCGAAAAATCCCGTTAGTTTTAACAGGAGACATATCAAAGGCGTTAGACGCCCTTCGAACGTGGCTGCTACCAGAAAACGAACAAAATTTCTTACTAGTCGGACCACACGGATCAGCAAAATCGTAAGTATATTTACATTTACTTCAACTACTAAACTTGTTCTAGTTTGATTCTCGAGTATCTGGTTAAGGAAAGATCCGACATGGAACTAGCTACTGTTCACTGCAGCGCCAACTTGCTTCCTTCCTACGTCATCAACAAAATCTCGCAACTGTGCATCGTCGTCAACACAAACAAAGGAAAAGTTTATAAACCGAAAAAAGGAAACCTTCTACTATATTTCAAAAATCTGCACTTGCTCAAGCCGGACAAGTGGGGCACGAATATTTTGATAGAGTTCCTGCATCAGGTGAGATCAGAAGGACGTAAGCAAACGTTTCCGTTTCCCCTTGCAGTCGTCACAGCCTTTTTTGTGGTTGACGCAGTTCAGCGAGTCATCAGACAGCGATTTGTACGTCGCGAACTTCACCCTCAAACTTTCTAAAATCTCCTCATAGTCGGTAACTTGTTTCTTCAGAAGGGTTTCGTTCTGCTGGAACCCTTGGACGACGACTTTCGCCTTTTCGTACTTCTGTAACAACTCGTTGAACGCCGACTCGAGGTTCGCTAGATGTACTATCGTTTGCTCGTGGTCACACACCACGTTCTTTTCCATAATAACTTTCTTTAGAAAGTTGTCATAGTTGCAAAGAACTTTCTGCAAAGCTGCCTCTTTATTGCGGTTGTAGTCAACTTGTCTTTGCAGTTCTTTGTTTTGTTCTTCGAGTTGACTGATTTTGTTTTCCATCGCTGTGATTTTGTTGTCCATGTCGTCCGCTCCTGGTCTTTCAATTTCTAAAAGAGAGTCAAAATGGGTGGAGGGAGTGCCAATGGACTTACTCACCGTCGCGAGATTTGCTGAACAAAAATCGATACAACTGACTTAACATTTGTATCACAATCTGACACATTTCAGATGATCAACTATAGAGCCTTCTTCGATCAAAATCTCGAACTTGTGGGTTACGAAAATATCACGATTGTGGGGTCTTTGTCGGTGGTTGCCACCTTGTCGACCCGCTTTACATCAATTGTGCACAATTACAACGTCAGGTAAATTAAAGACTTTTTGTAGCACGAAAATGAACTAAATTCGTAGCTTACCTGATCAAGAGGACTTGTCGGTGATTCTAGTGGCGTATCTAACCGTTCTTGTTAAAGAGTCTCTAGGTGGTTGGCCCAAAGCGAAGATCGTCAAACTAGCAGCTACGATAATCTCGATTTACGACAAGGTTTAACTAATAGTTAATTTAGCTTGAACTAATACATAGTGTTGTAGATAAGAGGGGTATTCCTCGCTACTAACTACAAACACTACGATTTTAGCCCTCACGACCTCACCAACTGGTGTTCTAGTATCCTCCGTTACAAAGATACCCTTCAAAGTGAATCCGAACACCCTCTTTTGGAAATAATGTGTTATGAAGCAACCATACAATTCGGGGATAAACTAGTCGGTGAAGAAGATCGCCACAAGCTAACCAACATCATAAATGAGGTCTTCAAAGTTCAGTGGGGGGTGATCACCATCACCAAAGACGTTCAAACCCAGTTTTACGTACCTTCGCCTCAGTACTCATCCCATAGTGATACCATCCCTCTTCAAAAACTAAACGAAGAGGAGTGGAGCGCCACTGTTAGAAAAGGCATGGTTCAGTATGGCCGCGAAGGACAGGATTTGGATATCTTGGTCAACCAAGAGCTTCTACATTTGAGTGCCAGTGTTTCAAAAATTTTGAGCGCTCCTGAAGGAAACGTGGTGATGATTGGGAGAGCGGGAATTGGAAGAAAGTCTGCAGTCAAGATTGTGTCAGCTTTGCAGTCTGCCAGACTTATAGTCCCTATAAGTGGTTTGCAACCACAGTTCAACGCCGACTTGAAATCTGTAAGTCTGTAGCGAAAATCACAAACAGCGATAAATTAGTTTTGTAGGCTATCCAAATGGCGGGACTGGAAGGGGAGCAAGTTTATCTTCTTTTGGAAGACCACATTTTCAACCGGAAGAATATTTTGAGCATGATCAACATACTAATATCAGCAGGAGAGGTACTGTTTTTGAGGGAAAACCTAAAATGTGGCTAATAACGTTATTATTAGGTACCCAGTTTGTACAACGCGGCCGAACTTGACTCTCTAATCGCGGGTTTGAAAGACGAAGCCAACCGAGAAAACTTCGAAGGGAACTTGATGGAGTTCTTCAACGAACGTACGTACTCACAACGGTGTTTCAAACTCAATTTAAAATAACATTCCAGGGATAAAAAGACGGCTGCACGTAGTGGCCTGCATCGACGTGGACAACGACAACATCTGGACGATTTTCGAAAACTGTCCCGCTTTCCTCTACAAAAGCACCATAATCTGGAAAACCGAGTGGAGCATCGAGACCATTCGATCAATTCCTGTTCTACTAATCAACAGGTATTTGAAAACATAGCTGTGACGAAAACTTTCTCATACTTTTTAGAGCTAACGAAAGCGACAACAACGAAATCCAGCACTGTAGCAACTTCCCCAAAATTTTTGCCGTGATTAGCGACAAAATGGCCGCTCCGTCTCGCTTCATCGCCATGATCAAACTCTACGTAGAAATCTACGTCGACAAAAGAAACACTATAACCTCCAAACAAAACAAACTGAAAGCTGGAGTTGCTAGACTTAACGAAGCCGCGAACTTAGTGGCTCGACTTAAGCAAAAAGCGGCAGAACAACAAAACAAACTCGCCGAGAAGCAAGCAAAAGCTAATACCGCTCTAGACATGATTAGTAACACGATGAGGAACGCCAATACCCACAAAGAAGAAATGGAGGTCTTGAAACAGCAAACCGAAGACGAGAATCGACAGCTCATAGTCCGAAAACAAGAAATCGAGCTAGAGCTGGCGGAAGTCGAACCCTTGATACAGGAAGCTCGGGCCGCTGTTGGAAACATCAAGTCTGAGTCTTTATCAGAAATCCGGTCTTTGCGGGCACCACCAGACGTGATTAGGGACATTCTAGAGGGTGTTTTGAGGTTAATGGGGATCCAGGATACTTCGTGGAACAGCATGAAGACTTTTTTAGCCAAACGAGGGGTGAAAGAAGAAATACGGTCGTTCGACGCTAGTAGAATCACGAGCGAGAATCGCCAGGCTGTCGAACGACTGATGGCTACTAAAGGCGATTCGTTTGACCCGAAGGCGGCGAAAAGGGCGTCGGTGGCGGCGGCGCCGTTGGCGGCTTGGGTGGGCGCGAACGTCAAGTATTCGCACGTTGCCGACAAGATTAAACCTTTGGAACGGGAACAAAACAAGCTGAAGGAGTAAGAACGTTGTTTGACGGTTCCTAGATCTGTTAGTTTTTTTTAGGAATTTGGCCAGTGCTGAAGCTCAGTTGGGTGAACTGAGTGCTGGACTGTCAGACGTGGACGCTGCAGTTGCCAAACTCAAAGTACAGTTGTCCGCTTACACGAAAGAGGCAGCCGAAATCGAAATTGACTTAAATAAGGCACAAGAAACTCTATCTGCTGCGGAAGGTTTGGTGTCCAAGTTGGATGATGAGTATCAGAGGTGGCAAGAGCAACTCAGAGACCTGTCGCAACAGATTGAAAAGTTGCCCGAGAATTGCTCCCTAGCGGCTGCTTTCATCACGTATTTGTCTGACGAGTCTGAAGAAGGAAGGAAGTTGTTTTTGGACAAATGGATCAAGGAACTTGGAGTTGAGTTTAACTTTGAAGAGTTCTTGTCGACGGAACGGGAGCACTTGCAGTGGCAGAGCGAAGGTCTCTCTTACGACAAGCTCTCTTTACAAAACGCCGTCATAATTTTGAAGGTTAGTTACTTTTCGGAAGTCAGTAGGTACCACAAAGCGTCTGCGTTTGTTTTAGGCCAAAATTACTCCACTCCTTATTGATCCCACTTCCAACGCAATCAAGTGGTTTAGAAACCACTTCAAACACAAACAGATAGAAACTGTAACACAAGACACCCCAAAGTTCCACACCAACTTAGAACTGTCAGTCCGATTTGGGAAAGTTTTAGTCATAGAGGAAATCGACAAGGTTTCTTCCGTTCTTTTCCCAATTCTGAGACGCGAATTCGTCTACCAAGGGGAACGAAAACTCATAAATCTCAACGGAAAATTAATTGACTACCACAACGAGTTCACGATGATTCTAAGTAGCAGAAATGAGCAGCTGAAAGTGGCTGCAGACGTCAATGCAATCGTATCTACCATGAACTTCACGGTAACTCATGCAGGTCTGACCGAACAACTACTATCGTGCACAATTCGGCAAGAAAATCCGGAACTAGAAGATAGAAGGAAGCAGCTTCTGAGGCAACGAGAGGAGTTGCAAGAGAAGCAGTATCAGTTACAAAATCAGCTCCTGGAAGATCTTGCTAACTCGTCTGGAGACATTTTGCAGAATGCCGTAAGACCGTTTCGACTAATCTAGAAAAAGCGCTATAGTTTGTATTGTAGAATTTGTTGGCTTCGTTAAACGAAACTAAAGCCAGCTCTACCGCAATCACCAAAGCTTTAGAAGAGTCATCCCAAGTCCAGAAGAAACTCCAGTCGGAATACGAGGTGTATCAAGAGATTTCGCTCTTCGGGAGCTATTTATACTTCGCGTGTAACGAATTTTCCAAGTTCAATGTGTTGTACGCGCTATCAGTACCAGCTTTCATCAAACTATTCCTGACTTCGCTCCAAACCTTCCAGGTACACCTAATTTGTTGTCACCTTTTTCTCAATACTGTTGTTGTTTTTTTTGGTTAGGGAATGGAAAGCACCACCGAATCCCAGAAGAAACACCTCTTCTACACCGTCTACACGTACGTTACTAGAGGGATTATGAAAATGGATCGCCTTACCTTCGCTATGCACCTAATCCAGAAGCTCTTTTCTATACAGTTGAGTGAATGGAGTCACTTTTTGGGTAACTCGGTTACCACTAGAAACGATCCAGAAAACATCCCACCGTGGATTCCCAAACACTGCGTTCACAACATACAAAACCTCCAAATCGCATTCCCCGAACTCTATAGACTATTGCAACTAGAAGAACAAACCTTGTGGACTAAATTCATGAGTTCTGATCACTGCGAAAGGGAGTTTCCGCAGCACTGTAAGGTCACTGAGTTTCAAAAACTCCTCACCATTCAAGCCCTCCGTCCTGATCGTACATACTCCGCTATGTCTCAGTGTGTCGTTCACATGACAAGCCTGCGCAGTATCGACCCACCAGTACTAGATCTAGCCCACATTTACAAAGAATCGTCGTCGTCCGAACCCATCCTCATTCTAACAGTGTCAGGTACCGACCCTTCGTCCGAAATCCGGGATTTGGCCCCTAGTGAGTTCGTAGAAGTGGCAATGGGGGAGGGCCAAGAAAGCAAAGCGCTAACAGCTTTGGAGAAAACATCAAAAGAGGGTCACTGGTTGATCTTGAAAAATCTCCACTTGGTTACAGGATGGTTGTCAATTTTGTGTCAAAACCTACAAACCTTGCGACCGCACGACAACTTCCGACTGTGGCTAATAACCGAACCTAACCCCTCATTCAACTTCGTTCTAGCCCAAAATAGCCTCAAAGTGGTGTACGAGGCACCACAAGGCATACGGAACAACCTCCAGAGAACCTATAATACCTGGGGGAGCAAATACATAGAGAAATTGCATCCCACCGCTGCACGAATATTTTTTATTCTGTCGTGCATTCACGCCATTTTGCAGGAAAGAAGGACCTATATTCCGCAAGGGTGGTCCAAATGGTACGAATTCAGCGACACGGATTTGGCCACTTGTGTCAGACTCGTGGAGGATTTGTGGCAGATGCATTCGCCTCAAGTGCAGTGGAAATTTATTTCTGGGTTGTGCTGCGATGCGGTTTATGGGGGCAGGATTGAGAATATCGACGATATGGATATTTTGAAGACGTATCTGAGGCAGTACTTAGTGGATGAGGTTTTGAGCCACAGGTGGAGTCCGTTCGGGAGTAAAGTCAGTTTGCCGAGTTCGTCCAAGTTCAACGTGTGTGCTCCAAAAATAGAGTCGTTTAGGAATTATCTTTGTATTTTTCAGGATTATGTCAATACTTTGAAACTACTGCCTGAACGAGACCTACCGGCGTACTTCGGACTGCCCGAGAACATCGGTCGGGCTTGGGAAAAACAAACCTCGAGTGAGATCCTCACCAAATTGAAAACTATCCTGTTGACGAAAGAAGTTTCTTTGAAGTTCGACCGGGAGTACTGGCAGAAGAGTTTGCCGCCTTTTATGATTGTGTGGAAGAAATTGAATCAAGGCCACGATTTTGTTCGGATGAATTTACCTGGTGCTGCGAGTAACTCGAATTCGTCGGTCGAAAATTTTGTTAGTGAGGAGTTTCAAAACGGCGTTCGGTTGATACAAAAAATACACAAGTGTTTTGCTACTTTGAACAAAATTTGTAAGGGAAATGCGATTCCGGACGATCAAGATTTAATCGTTGGGGTTTCTTTGATAAAGTATGAGGTGAGTAATGTTTTTGTACAAAATAATCGTTTTCAAGCTATTTTGTTGGTTAAGTCGTGGGAACAAAACCTAGAAATGTCATACCATACTGAACCCACTGTATCTTTCGTTTCTTTAGGTACCCAAGTCATGGGAGACGTTATGGCAAGGACCCAAAGAACCAAACAAATATCTAAGGAGTGTGGTCACCAAAACCGCAAATATTTCAAAATGGGCAGATGCAAAATCTGCCACGATTTTACAAAATCCGCTTAATTTGTCGCACTTTTTACATCCTGGTGCATTTTTAGCGTCGTACAAACAAGAATATTCGAGGTATTTACATCAATAAAGTTTCTAGTTGTTGTAATTTAATTTTGTAGGTTAAGCAACATATCTATGGATCAGCTGCAACTAGAATCAAGCTGGAAAGCTCCTACTCACAAAAACTACATAGTTTTGACTGATTTATTAGTAGAGGGTGGTTTATTTGAAGGAAACATGCTAAAACCGTGCTTGTCCTACTCGGAAAATATTAACCTTCCGCCCAACTGCTACATCACCTGGAAGGAAAAAGTGAAACTTACCTTGACATAATGACACTTAATAATGATCTATTTTTAGAAAATGTTGGTAAAAGATGATAAATATCTTGACGTTCCTTTATACTACAGCTCCAACAGAGAGAAGCAGCTAACTTCGCTACAAGTACTGTGTGATGTGCGAGAGAAGGATAGATGGATACAGGCCGGTCTCGCCTTTTACTTAGAATATTAGAAAAAAATCCGTTTATTTAAAAAATAAGTACTTACAATACATACTCGGCAGTAGAAACTAATTTTTGTGAATTGTGACAATCCCATAACCAGTCAGGTCTCAAACACACCGCATTTGAGTTATAATTTTTCAAGTTGGCAGCGTTGTCTTCTGACGTAATAAAAAAATCGACATCAGTGGAGGGATTTTCAGCAACAACTCTGAAACACAAAGCTCAAATTAAATTCCAAAACACGTAACAATATACCCTTTATACGCTATGACGTATCTTTCCAACATTTTCGTAATATCTTCATCAAAAACTTCGTCAATGAAGAAAGTTTTGAAGTCTAAGAAATCTGGTAATTTTTTGGAAATTTCGTCATCGTCGCTTATTGCGATTGTTTCTTCATCTGTGTCCTGAGAAAATGTATCAAGTTTTTTCGTTTTTTCTTTGTCTTTTTGTTTGGCTTGAATTTCTTCAATTCTTTTTTGCATTCTGAAAAACGACAACAGTTAAAGTGTCAATGTCACCAAACTAGTGTCTACTTAGTGTCATCATAGCCCTCTTCATCAGTACTATCATCTTTCTTTTCTTCAGCTATTTCCTCCCAAATTTCATCTTCACTCTCCGCTTTTTTAGAATCACTTTTATCTAAACAAAACCTTCTCCAGGGTAGACGCTTCCGTTGCGAGTGACACTCTTCAATCCAGCTTTTTTTAACAATCTTACCCTTACCCTTGACCTGGTTAAATTTAGGGGTGTTAGTAAAAGCGCAACTGTGAAAATAAAATAGTTACAAACGGTCACGACATTACTATTTTTTGTTACATTAAGTGTGTACAAGTGTTGTCCCAGTCTGATTTATACTTAGCTCCCATTTCAAGAGCCAGAGTCCTTAAATTCGCGCGATCGGGATTCTGGATACCGCTGATAACAAGTGTGACGCCTCTCAACAACTCAGTGAACGGTTTTCTCTTCTCTTTTGGTTTTTCCACCACTTTGATTTTTTTCTTAGGGCTGCTGCTCTCACCACCGTCGTTTTTCCTCTTACTAGACTCTCCCGTTTTCTTTTGAGCTTTCACTTCCTTATTTTTCTTTTCTTTCACTTCATTCTGTTTTTTCTCTATAATTTTATCAATTTTCTCATTTGGCTCTTCCTCATCTTTGCTATACAGGAGCTCATTTCTGTTTCTTGGTTGAGGTTTTTTAGTTTCACTGTCACTATCACTGTTGTGCGAGTTATTGTTAATTTTTAATTTTGGTTTAGCTACCGGTGATGCCGAAGTAGACGCTTCACGGATTGCAGCGGCCGCCGACAACGGTTCTTTTTTTAATTCAGCTCTCCTAGCAAACAAGCTCCCGGCTGATAAGCTATCTGGAGACTCAGGCCGCACTGCAAACTTGCCTATAGTAGTTTGAACGGGGGCTCCGTTGGGTTTATCGCCCGAAGTGTGCAACGTAATGAACGATAAACCATACTGTACGTGTCTATTAAATGGCTGAGTGCACACAATTTTCACCCTGTCCCATTTCTGCTCACACTCCGGTTTTGATAGTTGATCTTGCACAAACATGCGAACTTTGTTGATATTCGTGCTTTGTCGAGCCTCCAGAGGGGTCATAAACGACGACATCACTAACAAGACTTTAAAATCATCAGAGGTGCCGGACCGCGTCACTAATACTTCAATGTAGGCCGAATTTTCATTGCCGATGTCGATTCCCGAAATGACCGACGCTTTCTCGAGTTGGAGAACAACCGTGGCCGATCTTTCGCCGGCTTCTTTGCATTTCCATTTTTTAGCGGGATCGCTGCTCAAAACGTTGTTGGCGACATGCACCTGAAAATCCGCGTTTTTCAAGACAAAAGTGTCGTTTTTGGGACGACGCACTTACTGGGTCCTCGCTGCTGAAGCTGACGATGTGATCAACTTTTATTTTGGGCATTTTTGGAATTTCGGGGCACGAATTTAAAAAACGTCAACATAACCTCAAAAACGTGACAAGTGTTCGTCGTTTGACTTTTGGTATGTCAATCCAGCGCGCGGGATTTAAACCCGGGACGGAGATCAAACGCAATCAATCAGATTGAAAGCGGGAATAAATATTTACCTAAACTATCTACGATTAGTTTGAAAAAAGTTGCTTGCGTTAATGATGAAGTAATTAATTAAGTTTATAAATGGTTGATGATCGCGCTCGGTAACAAATTGTTTTCATTTAGCGGGAATTATGTAAGAATTATCTTCAAAATTTCGATTATTATAAATAGAAATGGCGAACTTCACTGATTTAATAAAATAAAAATAGTCGATTCATCTATGTCAAGTGGAGTCGTTTCGTAAACAAGTAGAAATATTGCCATTCCGCCCAATATCACCTTACACGACGCAAGAAAACTGTGACTGGAAGACGCAATGATTGACCCGTCCGAACTCGACGATATTTTGGAAAGGGCTAACTTTAGCTGCGGGTCCAGTGGGAGTAAGTTGTCCAATGGGAAATTTTGTCAATTGGTGTTTGATGGGATTATGTGCTGGCGGGAGACTCCCGCCGGGGTTTTGGCCAAACAATCATGTTCCAACGAGTTTATCAAATCCATCAAAAAAGTAAGTTTTTTTTTACTTTTTCCGGAATAATTTTAGATTATAGGGTTTGGCCACGAAACAATGCGACGAAAATGGGGATTGGCTGACAATTAACTCGTCACCTTGGACAAATTACAGCCAATGCGGCGGATTTTACATTGAAAAAATCATAGGGAACGAGACTTCAACTAATCACACTATATATGACACTTGGATACCTATAATCGAGTATGTTACCCAAGTGGGGTACGTTTTATCCACTGTGTCCCTTCTCATCGCTTTATTTATTTTCATACGTATCAAGTAAGTCTCACACGAATTAAATAAAATAATCAAAGATGGGGTTCCAGGAGGCTTCATTGTGCCAGAAATAAGCTCCACATGCACTTTTTCGGCTCCTTTGTAATGCGGGCTTTCATGTCTTTAATCAAAATTGGACTATTCGTTAAAGGAACGGCGCTACCGCATGAGACGATTTATGTGGATGGAGAACCGGTCTTTAATAAAACAAATTACGTAAGTGATGATACAATAAATTGCTGGTCAAAACTGAAAAAAATAACTTCGCTATGGTAACGATAATTTTTTTTAATGGAGCCACTCAATAAATATTTTATCGTTTAGTATGTAAATACGCACATTTATTATTTTTACGACCCACTGTTCATACTTCACGTAGTAATTTCTTTATTTTCGCTCATAATTCAACTTAAACAAAAACACTTGTTTTAACTAAAGTAGTGATTTTGCAGTCATGGGTGTGCAAAGCCATCGTGAGCCTCTGGCACTACTTCATCATATCCAACTACACCTTCCTCCTGATGGAGGGTGCCTACTTGCACAACTTATTGTTTTTGAAGCTTCTATCAGAAAACGGGGTGGCGATTTACTACTGCGTCGGTTGGGGCTTTCCCTTGTTTTTTATCCTCCCTTGGATAATCCTGAAGGCCTTGAACGAAAACAAGTACTGCTGGACAACCCAATCCAGTAAATACATCGCGCTCCTGATTGACGTTCCCATAGGACTCACCGTCCTCGTAAGACACCCAATACATCACCGCAATCACCTAACGATTTTTTCCAGATCAACTTCATTCTGTTTGTACTCATCATCCGGATTTTGTTTGTTAAGCTGACGTCTATGTACATGCAGAGGTGGACTCAGTATCAGAAGCTCGTCCGCGCTATTTTAATCCTGGTCCCGCTATTCGGGATCCCTTACGCAGTTTCCTTTGTGCTGTCGTTTTATGTGACGCAAAACCGAACGTTCGAGATTTTGTGGATATTTTTCGACCAGAGTTTTACCGCGTTTCAAGGGCTTTTTGCCAGCTTGGTGTACTGTCTGATGAACAGCGACGTCCAAGTGGAGGTGGTGCGGAAATACCGGTTGTTTAAAGATAGAAACAATAGGGAGTTCAAGCGGAGGAGTCGCACCATTTCGCACACCACCCAGATCGCTCTCGCCGAAGAACTGCAAGAGCTGCCGCAGGGGTTCGGAGACGAGGTCATTAACAAGACGAGCGACTATTTTTAAGTTTATTTATTGTAGCTTAGGTCCACACAGTAAACTTAAGTATTTATTTTCCTCTGAACTATTACATAATCACAGGACATTATATAAATATATAGAAAATCGCTGATGGAAAATCATATCATGCAATTTATCCCAAGTAACAATACTAGTACGGGCTATTCCTTGGTCTGGTATTGTATTTATAAATCCAACTAGCTCGCTCAGTAAAATGAATTATGGTCAAAAATTTTATTCAAAAACGTAACAACTACAACTAGACTTTCATAAAAAGTACAAATTTCCTAATCAAAAATGGAACGATCATTTACAGCAAAAAAATAAAACGATCATAAATAAATACAACTGCAGACTTGCAAGATGAAAACAGTGCTGGTGCTAGCTATATTAAAAAAAAACTATCACTCCTTACGTACTTTCCTTTTTCTTGCGCCCTCACCGCCGCCTTTCGGCGAATTTTCCTGCTGATTTTCGATTAGTCACCGGGCGAATCAAACCTCAAACTCACCTCTACTTTCTCGTCAGACTCGTCTTCGTCTTCAGTATCAGGTCCCGAATTCTTCTCCCTATCGTCATCCTCTTCAGGATTTTCAACCTCCGCTTCCTCCACCTCTTTCGCTTCTTCTTCCACTACGTCTTCAGTCGGTTCATCAGTCTTTTTCTTCTGTGCTGCTTGTCGCAGTTCCTCTTTCTCCTAACGCAAATTATTAGTTACACGGTCGATCAGTCCGCGAGACTAAATACCTGACTTTGACTAGCAGAGGATCCAGGCTTGCAGCACAAATATAATACAAAAACGACAGGTATTCCTAGTACAATAATGTACACGCCCCAAAGCCAAGGATATTCGTTGGTCAGGGTGGCTAATTTCTGAACTACGCTTTCCTAGATAGAAAAATGTGGATATGTAGCAACTACCAAAAATACTCAGTTAGCTTAGTACGAAATACCTCCTGGACGCAAAAGTAGAGGTACCAAATGTAAATGGCGACCGGAATGGCGCAATAAATGAAATATAGTAACCACGGAATTGGTTTGTAATTGAGTTTTCTCATGATGCGCCCCCATAATGAATTCTATGCGTCATAAGTGACTTTAGTTTGAGCATCGTGACAGATTATGGCACACACTTACCGAATCTTTAGCGATCTTTTGTCTCTTCTTGTCATAGGTAGCAGCCGCCCAGTGATTGGCCACTTCAATGTCGTCGGTAATAATAATGTTATCGAAGAAAATATCCTTGGACATTGACCACAGTTCAAAACCAACGGCGGACTGAAACGAAAGTGTTGTCAAGTCACCGTGCATGAATTTGCAGTTTCCTTTTATGAAAAAACATCACGACCGAGGCATCACCCGAAAACTTTTGATCACAAAAGTTAAATATAAATTTATTGAATTACCCAAGAATTATAAGTGACGTGTTTATAATACAAATATTCGCATATTTAACTTTTCATGGACATCAGTGATAAAACAACGCATTAAATTCACGAATTTTTTATGACTCGAGATTAAAAAAGTAGGTAACAGGACGAATTAAAAGCTTCACTTTTTACTAGCCTGACTATTCAAACGCATTGTTGTACGTAAAAATAAAAAAATAAATTTTCATTTTACTTAAAAGAAACACCTGTTAACTGTCCAAGTAAGAACTAAGTATCACAATTGATTTTTACGCAATGGTGTACAAGGTTGAATGAATCATGGCCTTTTATGGTGACAGGTTCATACAATTTCCAATCAATTGACGTTTAAAATAAATATACAAGTTTTATTAAACCGCAACAAATGATCACCTGTTCACCCACCCACTTACCACTGGCTGCATTTTGAAGGGCTGCTTATCCTCAAAGAACTCGGGATTGGGGATCCTCCTCGGCCTCCACTTCCCCTTGTAATTCGGGTTATCAATCAAAGGCGCCCTCCACTTCCCCTTGAAATCTGGGTTGTTGATCAATGGTGGCTCCCACGGTCCGCACCCAACCGCGTCCTTACAGCCCGGGTTATCAATAAGGGGAGGCTCCCACTCCCCGTCCATGTCGCTATCCCAGTCGTCCGGTTTCTTAGCGTCCGGATCGGGAACATGCGTTGGTTCGTTCTCTAGCCACCCCTCCGGCATCACCGCCGACTCGTCCACGATCTGAGCAGGGGCATCTTCGTCCCAATCGTCGGGTTTAACGGCATTGGGGTCGGGAATCTTCTCCCTCTCGTCCCAATCCTCCGGTTTCTTGTCGTCGGGGTCGTCGATTTCCTTTGGAGGGTTGACCGCGGGGGTGAAATCATCCAGTAAACTCCCCGAATTCACGACTTTCTTGTCCACCGAGATCTCGAAGGTGTTGTCGGGGTGGAGCACAAGAGTAAACAAGTGTGGGAGTTTATCGGAAAAGACCTCTTCAATGCGGTCTTTGGGCTTCTTGCAGTGTTTTTCTTCCAACGTCCCGTTGCGGGGGTTGCGGTGCTTGAAAATGAAGTGCAGCTTGTGGTCGTTGCCGCACTTGTCGGGCCCGAACATGATCGAGTAGGGAGTTTTATCGTGGAAGTTGTTGAGGTTTTTGGTCTCAGGACCTTGGGTTAGTAGTTTGAGGTAGGCGCCTCCGCATTCTTGCCCGTCTTGGAACATCACTTCGTATTGGACTACTAGGGGCTTGGCGTCGAAAACGAAAGCTCGCGATAGGGATGACGCGATAGCGGCGTGTTTGGCTTTGGACTTTAGGACTAAACCCTTGTCGCCGGTAAGACCGTCTTTGAGCGCGCTTTCCACCTGCCACTGTCCGTCGTATTTGGCGATGTCTTCAGAGATTCCTTCTTTTTTGGCCTGAGATTTCACCCAGTGTTTGGAGAATAGGTCTAAATCGTCGAAGTGTTCCGCCAAATACGTGCTTTTCGAGTCGAGGGATTTGGGGCTTTCGTACGGGACGTCTATCGCATCTTCGGGGATCGTTTCTACCGTCGCTTCTTCCGAGTCATCCACATCGTCGCATTTGGCGTGTGAAAAAATTAGTGCTAAGCTAATTACGGCGGCGATAATTTTTAGGTGCATTCTGTGTTCAATATAACCTCATATATTGTCCTGAAAATTACGGGGAATGAAAGTTACGGATTTTACAAGCGTGGCTTTAGGAAGTGACAATGTTGACTAATGACTAATCGCGTACTAATTTAATTTGAAAAAATTACGGCGAGGTTACTGAACCACACTTCCTAATCGATTTAGGGACAGTAATTGCTCCAAACGGTGAAAAACTATCAGAAACACTAAATTATTGTTGATTAAGCGTTGTGGGTCACGGGAAAATCGCTATTTCGATCGAAAACGAGAAAGTTTCACTAGCCGACAAAATTAAGTGTCATACCTAACCTCAAAATCCGGAAGAAAATAAAATGCACAGCACACTATTTCTTAATTTAGAACACAAAGCAGCGGCTTAAATCGCTTCGGAATTAAAAAAATACTGCTTCACTTCGGCTACAGATTAACTACAATGTGATTTTTAAACACCACGTATAACATGGCATTTGTATGGAGGAGAATAAACACAAAACTGTCAACCAATCAGCGTGAAACAGATGGCAAAATAGGAAATGGTTCAAAAAGTGGCGCCACAACCACTCACTGGAATGAAAGCCGTAAAGCGTGTATAAATATTTTATTTATGAACTATTACAATAAAGAAAATTATTATTTTTATCACAGATGTTATGATATGAACAATAAAGCAAGTCGGCAAATAAATTTGTATAAAGCTGTCTTCAGCGAAGCATCAATAAAGCGTCAGTATAAAAATAGTTACAATGGAAATAAAATCATGAGCAAATATTGATTGGTCTTGTGTCGTTAATAATAAATAAGTACAAATATAGTTAACATTGAGCATAAATTTAGATATTGTTTTTTGGCCCTTACACTATTAATACTTTTAAATGGAATGAATAGCCCGTTTACGAATCTTTGGTTTTCAGTTTCCTTAAAGCAGTGCTCATTGCTAACTTTCCAGCAATCACAGCGTGTTTTTCGATTTTGTTCCAAATAGTTGCCATTATCAGTGTATAGAACATAAAAACGGTAATTACAACTTTCAAAATGTGGTATACAAAGTTCAACCCAAACGGCGAGTTGGTAGCCAACGTGGTGACCAATAAAACCAACAAAACAAAAGTAAAAAACCAATACAAATATTTGTTGTGGCCCAAACTCTTGAGTGCTTCATCACAAATCTGGATGCTCTCCTCCAACACAGTTTTCTTCATCTGGAGATCTTCCTTAGCCGCCAAAACGTCGTTTTTGCTTATAACTAACGTGGCAGCGACTGCTTCATGGTCTGAGTAGCTATAATCACACCCTGGAACTCTATCTGGTAAAGGCAAACTGTAACTCTTCAAATCAATTTGTAAATTTGAGCCTGGATGATACATAATGTAGTCAATCCTCTTCCCCGGAATATTTTTTTTTACTAAAGAAGGCGGCGTATAAGAATTAGTCAAACTTTCATTGGTGGCTACAATATCAAGCGCTGTTTCACCAGCTTCATTAAACGCATCCACCAACCCAGGCACTGATAGCATAAGCCGGTATGCTAAATCCCCAGGCTCTGTGTTCAAATCCCCTGCTAAAACAACCAAATCCGCCCCTCCCGACGTCATTTGAATAAATTGAGCAGTGTCAAATGATTGAAGCACTCGATGAGCTTGATATTCATCACATTTGCGGTCATACTCTGCATGCAACTACAACAACAAATTAGCGATTTTTTTGTGAATGAAACTACCACTCACGTGCGCTGAGTAGACGTTTACGCAATAATTGTTGACTTTCAACCGGCACAACCCCACACCTTTTCCGCCAAACCAGTCGCCGTGGTGGATTTTATGAATGTACCCATTGACTGGCCACTGGTGAAAGAACACTTCTTCCATTGGATAGCGCGATAGTATGCAGACGCCGGAACCCGTGACTCCGCTGAAGAGCAACGGTTTCATTTAGGGTTTCGTGAAATGCACAGTTTACCTGTAGAAGTAGTGGGAATAAGGCAAGACTCCTGAGACTTTGTGCTTGATTAGTTCGTAGTCAGAATTGAGCCAAATTTCTTGCAGACACACCACGTCATAGTGGCTAGTTGCTAACATCTCTGCGATTGCTTGCATGCGCTGGCTGCGGTTGCGGGAGACAACGGCGAGCCCCCTAGAGAAAAACATTACACAAACACAAGGTTTGGGTGCACGTTCAACGTACCAGCAGTTTAGAGTCAGAATTTTAAATTCCATGTTCACCGTCACGTTCACCCACTCCGACTGCCGCTTTGTTGGATTTTAAATCAAATTTCATACATATTTTAGAAAACACTCGTGACGTGTGACATTTTGGTGACACCTGTCAACAACGCGGCGCGGTGTTATCGGTTTGAATTTTCGCGCCTTCCCGTGTCATTTTAACACATAACTCAACTTCTAGGTGTGAAACACACGACTTCGACCTACAATTGATAAAAAGTTGTTCTAGTTTTTAATTGCTTTTTTATATTATGTTTACAATGTGATTATTAATAAGTTTGTTTTGTACAGTGCTCGCTTTTACCGACCCCCCACCCCATTTTCAAATTTGTTTCATGATGGCCGCATGTGCCCCCTTTTGAATAACTTGGTTAGTTGAAAATTTGTTATTTGTTATCACTTATTGAAAATGAACGAGTTGGTGGTGCCCCCGGCGCCCCATTGGTATAAAAGTTCGATTGTGGCTTGTGCCCCCGATAACACTTTGGTGTACGGATCAAAAAACGATCTTGTAGTGGTTACAGAAAAAGTGGACAAAAAACCTGCTGATGTTCGCATAATTCACGGCGCACATTCCAAACAGTGAGTTTATGTGTTTTTTCATCACGGTGCTCATTGTAATCGTTTCAGTGTTACCTCAGTTGATTTGAACCGAAAGTGGAAGGATCCACACTCATACGCGGTTTCCCTGGGTGAGGATAGTGTCATCAGGGTGTGGAATTTGGACACGTTTGAGAAGAAGACGTCGAATAAAGACCATGTGGTAAGTTATGGATGAATTTTGTTTCTATAAAGTATGACAATACAAAAAGACAAGATACTCATTTTGGGAAATATTTCCTGTTTTTGTTTTAATGGGGCGTGCAGGGACACAAAGAGGCAGTGATTGGGGCTGTCTTTGCGGGCGACGACCGAGTCGTCTCAGCGACCTCTAGCGGTGTCGTTTCCGTATGGAACATCAACACCAACGAGTCCAAATTCTTGAAAGACTTATTCAAAAACAAAGTCACTTTAACGTGTCTGTCGTCCTGTCCGCATGCTGGTTGGCTGTTGGCTTTTGGCTTAAGTAATGGAGGGGTTGTGGTTGCCGACTTGCGCAGTAAGTGACAAAATAAGTAAATTTTTATATTGTTTTGAGCGATTTAGGGAATGGACAAGTTTTATATAAATTACGAGGGCATTATCAATCTGTAGTGTCGCTATCGTGGTGTCCCGCACCCGTTAATGTGTTCCCACAAAGTACTAACAATACAGTTAAAAATAAATCGACGGAAGATGTACCAGAAACAACTAGCGTTGAAAATAACACGAAAGAGAAAAAAATTAATCCGTGGGTTAATTTGGTTCATGCTGATGACGACGCGCCCGTTGTCGAGGGTCAAAAAGAGGTTCCAGATTTTTTGAAAGAGTGTGACAACTTGAGGAACAAAATTCTGGGTGTGGAAACTCAAAAAAACGATGACGAAAAAGTGACGGTGGCGCAAGACGACAGGAGCGACAAAGCAGCCACACGTGCAGAAAAACCCCGACAACGACAAGAAGTCGTTCAGAATAGACCCCTGCCGGTAATCTTCGACGGGGATTTCTTAGACGACTCCGGTCTTGATTCTGTCGCTCTCCCTGAAGAGAAACAAAAAATCGAGCAAGAAAAGAGCGACCTTCAAGAGAAAACCGAAGAACCGGAAATTGAAACCAGCGGCGAAGACAGCGGGATAATGCGCGACGCGTATTTAAAACCCGAGGAACCCATTGAAGAGGAGCCACGTACCGAGTACCTATTGGCCTCCGCCGGGAGAGACAAAAGCGTTTATATCTGGCGTGCCGGCACTGACGGTCGCATGCAGACTTTCTTCTTCGCTTCCAGGAAGTCCAATCGCCGCGAAAAGCACTCAATGACGTGGATTGCGCTATGCTGGGTGACCCCGGACACGATTTTGACGTCGTCGGCCACCGGCGAGATTCTCGCTTGGTCCATGCCCAAACCCAAAGAGTAAGTAAGTTTTGGTGGTCGTCGAAAACTAAAAGTCGAATTGTAGTGCGAAAAAACACTTTACTGTGGTGCATTACGAGCACTCTTGTCTCGTTTTTAATATTGTGACGCCGCCGAACTACCGCACGGCGTACAACTGGCGCGATAAAGTCGCTATGAATGCGTGGACGTGGGGTCAAGAAGGCAAATTGGTCAACTATGACTTGAGTAAGGAGAAAATTCGATGTTCGTTTACGACGGTGACTGCTTTAGTCACGTGTTTTTCGTCGTCAGTACTGGACCCAAACCGGTTGGTTGTTTATTTTTGTAATTTTTTTTATTGGTGGGTTTTCGTAGTTTGGCGATTGGTTTGAGAGATGGGGGTATCCGGGTTTGGGACTTGAGTATACCGCACTCGAATGTCGTCAACATGCAACGGTACCACCCCAAGTACACCCAAAGAGTGTCCGCCATCGCCTGGCATCCAGTCAGAGAGACTATCGTGGCTTTCGGGACGGAAGAAGGACGAGTAATTATTTTGTTATATGTGGGGTGTATTTTTACAAACTATTTTTTTTTCGTTCGGTGCTACGTAGGTCGGCTTCATCGACCTCACATCGAAAAAGCACACCCTTTTCCCCCACTATTTCCGCAACCAAGTGTATAAAGTGGAGTGGGGTCCGGTACGAGGCGACGTGGACAATTTAGGCCTCTACGTAGTCGCCGAAGGCAAAATGGCAATTTATAACATCGACAAACCCACTGAAAGTAAGCCCTCCTGGATTATTTTTCCTTTTCTGATTTCCTTTATTTTTGTTAAGATCCGACTCACATGGAGCTTCCGGAAAACCTTAACGTTTATAGATTCGCGTGGAAGCCCGACCACACCCTACTACTATTAAACGGAAAAGACGGTTCTTTGGTGGTGCTAAAAACCGACTTAACCGCAATCACTACGATTTACCCCAACGACAAGGGGCTGAATGGTATAGTGTGGCACCCCGACGCGTTTACCAATAAGACCGAAATTTCGCCGCGTTGCAACTGGTTTGCGGCCGCCACCACCAAAGGAGTGATCGTTTTTGACTGCCACGCGCTCGACAAGAACGATAATTTCGCCGATAAACTCGTGGTGTCGTTCGAGGGGCATCTGAAGCCCCCTCTAGCCCTGGCATGGTGTCCGTTCGAAGGGAATAAAATCATCTCGACGGCAGGCGACGGTCTATCTCATGTAATTACCCCAAGAAGTACTATTATTTGTGATTTAGTTTGTATTTAGGTGTGGGACGTAACCACCAAAACTATCATCGCGACTTTCGTGGATTCGTATCTGTCGCATAATTACGCAGCGGCGTGGAGTCCGGTTGATCCAGATTTAGTGATAATAGGGGATAAAACTTTGAGGATCTGGAGCATTTCTGGGAATCCACCGAGAAGCGACGAAGGTAACTAGTTTTTCGTGAGTTGTTAAAAACTAATCAATTTTGTAGAGTTCATAGCCGAACGAAAACGCATGTTGGCCAAGTCGGCTAAAAACGACCCCGAGAAAACCGAAAAGAACAAAATCAAAGTCGAAATTCCAGTAAAAGTGAAAAGTGCTCCCAAAAACTACATCGTTCCGTCGATTTACGTGTCAAACGACGACAATATCAGTCAACAAGTTGACAGGATGAGGAAATTGATGGACGGAGGTGGCGACATTTCAAGCGAGAAAACGAAACTGGATCCTTTTGATTTATTTGGAAATAAAGAGCAAGTGTCGACTTTATTGGACGCCAATTGTAACAAATTCGTTATAGTTAGTAAAAAAAAATAATAAGAATATTGTTATTTATTAGACCAACAACACCAAAAGGAGGGTAAGTTTAAATCGTGCGAGTTGATCTCGTTGTGGAAAGGAAACGTGGCTGAACACATCCAAAACGCTATTAATGAAAATCGCGTCACTCCGTCGGTGATAGCTCTAGCCCCCATGGTTTCAATAAAGTGAGTTGACAATTTTTGAAATTTTCCCTAAGTTGTTTTTAACAGGTTGTGGCAGGACGCGTGTGTGATTTACGCCAAAAAACTGTCAGAAGAAGCGAATTCAGACCCTTTAGAAACCGCAATGTATTTCTTAGCTTGTCATAAAGTAGAAGACGCCATTCACTCGCTTTGTTTGAACCTAATGTTCAGGGAAGCTCTCGCTTTGGCTAAACACCGACTGTCCGAAAATAGCGACATCACGACGAACGTGGTGGAAAAATGGGCACAACATTGCACCGACACTGGAAATTTTGAAAACGCAGCTTATTGGTAATCGTCGCATTTATTAAAATTTGTACCTAAACAAGTCGATTTTAGCTATATTTCTATCAACGATTATGAAAAAGCGGCCAAAGTTTTGGCGCGTCGTACTCACAAAGAGTTTTTGGAGTTCGCGCTAGAGCTGGCTGAGAAAGCGGGAAATAAAGGACTTTGCGATTCCATAAAGTATAAGTGTTCTGAAGCTCAAAGTGCTCAAATTGCAGAACCCAGTGTTCCTTCCAGAGGTGACGCTATATTAAAAAATATGGCAGAAAATGAGTCTCAAATTGAAGAAGACACAACAAAGATTGAGAAAGAAGAATAATTTGTAAGACTGACAAATTTAGTTAAGTTTGACCGAATTCCGTTGTTTTTCTTTCAAAGTAGTGGTTTTTATGTTGTTATTTTTCCAGTCGAGAAGTTTCGTTTCGTTTCGTTAATAAAAAACGGAAACAACAGTTTTGCCACTTTATATTTGTTACCCAAAAAATAAAAAAATCAGATATTTGCGAGACCTTGGTACATGAGTAGGTCTTCTGCTATTTCAGTTATGATGAATTCGTCATTAGCTGGTACGAAAAGGGCGGTTCCGGCTACAAGGGGCATGTCTCTGGATTTAGCCTCTCCGGAAATCACAAGCAAAGTGCTGCCTGTAGTTCTTTTCTTGGTGGAATACGTTTTCAACGACTTGGGAACCTGAAACGAGACGTGTGTAGTTAATTGTAGTTGTCGTGACGGTGGCAACCTTGTTGCAAGTTGGCGCTGGATAAGTAAGCTGTTTCTCAGCTACTGTCACCTTAAAGGTCGATTTATAAACTTGTCGCGACGCAGCGAAGGTATGCGTCGTTTATATCATCCGTTGAAAGTTGACACTTAAAACATGTTTAAAATGGTAAATTTGTATAGGGAAATATCGATTTTGCAATTAAGCTTCGCCCCTCGGTCTGACAACGAATGAAAAATTCATCACGATTGAGATAGAGGCGAATGGGTGGGGCTTCTCTTTTGGTTTTCTTTTTTAATTAATACATTTTATGGTAATGATGATGGGAAGAATTTTCGAAAAAAAATAAAGACCCAAATAACTTCTGGAGGTTGAAATCTACGAAAAAAGTTCCTAAATAATTTTCAAAAGCAGTCGAAAAATGGTCAAAACATAAGGGGAAAGTATTGAAGTATTGAACTTTTTGGAAAATTTGCCCAAAAATATTAGAAACAATTCTGGGTATAGATCTCCACGTGCCGTTTCGAAAAATATAGCATGAATTGTGAAGATTTGAAAATTTCACGTATCAATATTTTGAATATTTTTTTGATAAACTAAATGGACGAATTTAAAGAAATTCCAAAAAGGCGGATTTTCTGCGTGATTACTGAACGTAGATCAAAAATAAACACATATTCGTAACCCTAAGAAAATTTCCAATAATATAGACTCGCCTGACCAATATAGAATCTAGAAGACTAAAGAATGATATGGGTGGATATATACAGATATGAATAGATATAGACGTATATGCAAAGATATAGAAAATATATAGACGGATATTAGATACAGAAGGACATAGACAGATTTTGAAATTGAAATGATAAAATTGAAATTTTGAAACTTGAAATTTGAAGGTTTCGCGTATAAATTTTTTTCAACATTTTTTATGAACTGTTCAAAACCACAAATATAAGAATATGTTATTTTATAAAATTTAAACGGTGTTTACACAAATCTAAAATTTGACAATTGACGATTTTTTTGTATTTTATAATGCATATTTTCGAACTTATTTCTCTTTATATAGCTTTTTTTTTAATTTATGAAAATCGGTTTTTTGGGAATTATTCTTTGGATGAACTCCCAACAAATCCAGTATCAAAAACAAACTCATTCTGAGACGATTTCGAAAATGTTAAAATATACCGGGTGTCTGGAAAATGGCGGATTAACTCTCCGCTACGCTCTTAATTAATACATTTAAGTCAACCGATGAGTGTGGGAAGAATGGTAAAAAAAATCTTTCTCACATTTTGGTGGAGTTATAATCATTTTATATGTCATTTGACAAAGTAAGTCTTATCTTAGCAGGTAGTAGCCCCGCCCACCCACCCTCTCTTTTCTTAGAGGATATCTCATTTGCCAAAATAAGTCTTATCTTAGCAGGTAGTAGCCCCGCCCACCCACCCTCTCTTTTCTTGAAAGGTATGTCATTTGCCAAAATCAGTCTTATCTTATCAAGTACATATTTTCTTTGTATAACATGATTACTTAAAGAACATATATCACATGGTAATTTCTCCTAGCAAAATAAAGATTTTACAATTAAGCTCCGCCTCTCGACTTACGACGAATACAAAAAATCATTCGAATCGAGATAGGGTGGGTGGGCGGGGCTTATATTTTGCCTTTTTTTTTCTTAATATACCGCCATCTATTGACAACGAAAAACGTTGAATATGGTTAAAATGGTACATATATGGATTTTACAATTATGGGGCGGAGCCTAATTGAAAAATCGATATTTCCTTATATAAATTTTCCATTTTAAACATGTTTTAAGTTTCATGTTGTGAAAAGAAGTCTACACATATTAAAACAAAAAGACAAAATGTAAGCCCGCCCACCCGCCCTATCTTCATTGTGATGATTTTTTTTTATTCGCCATGAACCATGGGAACGGAGCTTAACTGCAAAATACTTATTTCTTGAAACACGTTTAAAATGGTAAATTTTTGTAAGGAAATAAGGATTTTGCAATTCAATTCCGCTCCTTTGGATCTCGACGATTAAAAAAAATCATCACAATTGAGATCGGGTGGGTGGGTGGGGCTTATATTTTGACTTTTTTTTTCTTAATATACATAGCCATCTTTTCAGAACAAGAAACTTAAAACGTGTTTAAAATGGTAAATTCTTGTAGACAAATCTTGCAATTAAGTCCCGCCCCTCGATCTGACAATGAATGAAAAATTCATCACAATTAAGAATTGAGATCGGGGCGGGTATGGGTGGGGCCTAGTTTTTGGCTTTATTTTTTTCTTAATATACATGGTATTTTTTGAACAACACGATACTCAAAAACATGTTTTTAATTTCTCGTAGAGAAATAAGGATTTTGCAGTTAAGCTCCGCCTTATTGGCTCACAACGAATAAAAAAAATCATCACAATTGAGATAGAGGCGAATGGGTGGGGCTTCTCTTTTGGTTTTCTTTTTTAATTAATACATTTTATGGTAATGATGATGGTAAGAATTTTCGAAAAAAATAAAGGCGAAAATAACTTCTGGAGGTCGAAATCTACGAAAAAAGTTCCTAAATAATTTTCAAAAGCAGTCGAAAAATGGTCAAAACATAAGGGGAGAGTATTGAAGTATTGAACTTTTTGGAAAAATTGCCCAAAAATATTAGAAACAATTCTGGGTATAGATCTCCACGTGCCGTTTCGAAAAATATAGCGTGAATTTTGAAAATTTTACGTATCAATGTTTTGCAATATTTTTTTGACAAACTAAATGGACGAATTTAAAAAAATTCAAAAAAGACGGATTTTCTGCGTGATTACTGAACGTAGAAAATTTCCAATAATATAGACTCGCTTGGCCAATATAGAATATAGGAGACTAAAAATGATATGGGTGGATATAGACAGATATGAATAGAATAGAATAGAATATAAACTGACACGGAAGGATATAGAATGATATAGAGAAATATAGACGTATATGCAAAGATATAGAAAATATATAGACGGATATTACATATAGAAGGACATAGACAGATTTTGAAATTGAAATGGTCAAATTGAAATTTTGAAACTTGAGATTTGAAGGTTGGGCGTATAAATTTTTTTCAACATTTTTTAGGAACTGTTTAAAACCACAAATAAGGAATATGTTATTTTATAAAATTTAAACGGTGTTTACGCAAATCTAAAATTTGACAATCGACGATTTTTTTATATTTTATAATGCATATTTTCGAACTTATCTCTCTTTATATGTATAGCATTTTTTTTTTAATTTATCAAAATAGGTTTTTTGAGCAGTATTCTTTGGATGAACTCCAACAAATTCAGTATCAAAACAAACTCATTCTGAGACGTTTTCGAAAATGTTAAAATATACCGGGTGTCTGGAAAATGGCGGATTAACTCTCCGCTACGCTCTTAACAGTCAACCGATGAGTCTAGGAAAAATAGTAAAAAAAATCTTTCTCACATTTTGGTGGAGTTATAATCATTTTATATGTCATTTGCCAAAATCCGTCTTGATAGGTACTAGCTCCACCCATCCGCCCTCTCTTTTCTTAGAGGGTGTCTCATTTGCCAAAACCACTTTTATCTTAGCAGGTAGTAGCCCCGCCCACCCACCCTCTCTTTTCTTGGAAGGTATGCCATTTGCCAAAATCACTTTTATCTTAGCAGGTAGTAGCCCCGCCCACCCACCCTCACTTTTCTTGGAAGGTATGTCATTTGCCAAAATCAGTCTTATCAAGTAAATGTTTTCTTTGTATAACATGATTACTTAAAGAACATATATCACATGGTAATTTCTCGTAGCAAAATAAGGATTTTACAATTAAGCTCCGCCTTCGGCTTACGACGAATACAAAAAATCATCAGAATCGAGATAGGGTGGGTGGGTGGGGCTTATATTTTGACTTTTTTTTTCTTAATATACATAGCCATCTTTTCAGAACAAGAAACTTAAAACATGTTTAAAATGGTAAATTCTTGTAGACAAATCGTGCAATTAAGCCCCGCCCCTCGATCTGACAATGAATGAAAAATTCATCACAATTAAGTACTGAGATCGGGGCGGGTATGGGTGGGGCCTAATCTTTGGCTTTATTTTTTTTCTTAATATACATGGTATTCTTTGAACAACACGATACTCAAAAACATGTTTTTAATGTCTCGTAAAGAAATAAGGATTTTGCCGTTAAGCTCCACCCCTCTTGGCTCACAACGAATAAAAAGAAATCATTACAATTGAGTTAGGGTGGGTGGGCGGGGTTTATATTTTGCCTTTTTTCTTAATATGTGTAGACCTATTTCGATAACAAGAAACTTAAAACAACGTCAGTGGAAACAGCAACTGCAACGGGAATTTCAACGTCAACAATAAGTTTATAAATCCAGCTAAGACAGTAAAAATCCAGCGCCAACTTACGATTTTTGTCGGTTGCGCTCACTTTGATCTGAACTATTGCAAAGTCAGGTACTGGCGGCTTAAATATCTGGCATTCTTTGTCTTCCTCTTCTGGTTTAAAAATCATATTTTCTGCTTTGTCACCGTGGTAGTTGACCATGGAGCAAAGTGTTTTAACGTCGATGTATTTTGGGGTCAAACCAGCGCGAACGACGTTGTCAGAGCAAGCCATACACTCGACGCAATCTGTAACATAAAAATAATCACACTGGAATGACTTTGATTTTTTTTACCTCCATATAGATAAGCGTGAGGCAAGTTGGCCCCTAAATAAATCGCCTCAAAGGGTTTTAGTTTAATATAATTCAAAAAATACACCATAAAGCAGCCTACATCGTTCGGGTATTGTGAATAAAGAGCCCGAATTACGTCCGCGTACTGAAATTCTCGTTCTTTCTTGTCTGAAAAAAAAAGAGTGACTAATGGATAAAAATTAAATTGCAATGTCAAAAATCCAAATTATTGAAATTATTATTGAGGCAACTCTAATCCAAAAACTTTTTGTTATTACCCAAAGTTTTAAATCTGCGTAGTAATAATACTAGTTGTTCCTCTATAACATTTTTAGGAGCTTCAAGTACAGCCTTGAATGCATCTTTCACCATCTGGATACCATTTGTTTTGTGTTTCTCTGCGATATTTCCCGTGACAGCCCTCAACTCAGGAATATCTAAAATCCGACCATAAAACACCCAATCAGAAAAACGCAGTCATTACGTTTTAGATAATACACAACATCTGGCAAAGGTCTAAAACCACACAAAGCCTCAAAGGGTGTTAACGCAATCGCCAATTCAGGCTTATGATTAGGGTCCTTATAAATATCAGGTTGTTTTTTGTGCAGTTCTTCTGCGTGTTTCTAAACATCGACAAATTAAATAAAGTCACTCTTTGCAAAAAACTCACCTTGGAGGGATGCACTTGGACCGACAAGGCTTTATCAATAGATAGAACTTTGAACAAAAATGGTAACTCTGTGCCAAACATTTTCCTTACGTGAGTGCTGCCTATACATTCCGGGTGTTTGTTCAAAAAGTCGGACAACAATTCGTCACTACCCTTGATCACAGAGGGTCCATTGACGTGGGTACCTAACCATAGTTCAGCGTAGGATTCATTGTTTTCGATCTTAAATTTCTTGTTGACATTTGCGTGAAGAGTGGCCACTAGACTGTCAGCCCCCTTTTTGCCCCAAGCGTACGTCTGTATTTTATAATCAAGTTCCATTGTAGGGGCGACACTTTTAGGTTATGGTTACGTCATTGAAATGTCAGATGAAGGTCACTGCGTGATTTGCTGATTGAGGTGGAGGCTGCGTTCGGATTGGTGGAGTACGTTCCGAAACGTGTGCAAGGTGTGAGGTTATGTCACAGCGGGTTATAGGTTATAGGGTTAAAAATAAATAAAATGTCTCTCCATATTTATGCTTTTTATTAAATTAAGTTTCAAGCAATAAATTAAGTCGTAGTGATCGCTCCGTGGTATATTCGTTTGGGCGCTTGCGTGTTCCCATGGTGGCCACCCCAGTGCCAAAAAAAACTCGACGGTGCCAACCCGCGCTTCGCAAATTCAACCTCTAGCAGTACATTCGCCAATATTATCACACTAATCGAGAAGCACATAAGGGCGCAGAAGCAACAAATCTCGTGAATCGTGCCGTCATTCGTCCACTCATCGTATCGCTCTTCCACGTTCTTCCGCAACCTCTTAAACCTCCGCACGAGTCTCTGCCTGCAACAACACAGTGAACTTTGGCGACGATTTCACCCAACCTTCACCTTAAAGTGAGCGGTCCGAGGTTAGCGTCAACCGAAACCATACTGTCTTCCGGACTAGAATTATCTTCGTTTTGATTAGACTCATTATCACTATTTTGTTCCGGTTCGTGCAACACTGGCTCACTTTCCACCATGCCTTCTTTGATCTTGACTAGATCTACACCAAGTCTGAAATTGGGACTGATTAGAAATTCGTTAAGTTCCACCAACTTACTCTAGCCGATTAGGTCTAGAATTGCGCGCCAAGGAGCTAGCCCGCAACGACAAATCCGAAGTTCTCCTCGTTATTTTACGAGCGTCGGGATTTTTAGAGAGTTCGATAGGTCGAGAAATTGTTGCAATGCTTGCCCGTCTTTTTGTAATCACCCGACCGTTGGGGGTGGCGGCTATTTGTTTCTGGGCTGGAGCCGTCTCTGGAGAATTCGTATTCTGCAGGACCCGCCTAAAATTAGCTCATACAATCATTTCGCAATTGGCAGATGTAATCTATTTATGAATGTTTGTGTGTTATGATTTTTTATTATCGGAAATGATCCCATATTTTATGGCTTGTCAATGAACCGATAAAGCGATGGACCCGAGCTATGCGATAACGGGGCATTTTGGGAACCAGGATACAGATTAGCGGCTTAATGAGGTGATTTATTTTTTTCGGTTCTGAGTCTGATATGAGGCTTGAATTTTTGTCGCGCATTTATTATGTTCATGTTTGTACACTTCAGAAAAATAAGCGATAGCCTAAACAAGCGTCTGGTTTCGTAACAATGATTACGAATGAAAAATAGTCGCAAATCTCTAAACAGTATTCTTGTCCTCCTGTGACAAAACTTAAAGTAGTTGAGGTTTTTTCTGAAAAAAAATAGTTGAACTGCAAGTATGGAGAGTCTATGAATAATTGTCACCGTTAAAATTTGCCGCTCACCCTTACACAAATCCGACTATTACTCTGCGACGTCACTTTGACGTTTCTTTTATAATTCCTGTTTCGACAAGGCGGCAAACGTCAACGCCTGCTTTGACACGACAATAATTTATAGAAACTCTGTATAATGCTATTGTTTGTAGTTTTTTGTGTAAGCAATAAAATTTCAGCCCCCCTTCGTGCACTGATAAGCTAGAAAATACATAAAAGCGCTCTAACGACTGCCAAGCGATAAACCACCAGGTGCTACTTTACTGCCCATTAAACCCAACTTTACAACCAGTTAAAAATTCCCCAAAACTTACTTCGTGTACTGTAGCTGGCGCCTCGCCGAGTCCCTTTGTTGCTTAAGAAGATTCACATGATTGATCATCACATGCACCGACTCCGATATCCGATTTTCGTGCTGGACCGCTCCGTAGCGCTCCGAGGAGATGGTGGCGTGTGCGGACGCCTTCATCACTATGTCGATCTGGCCCAGGAGGGCCGAAAGCAGCTCGGTGGTTTCGGCATCTATGCACAGAGACTGCATCCTGTTGGCCTTCTGGATGAGCTTTTCGATTTCTGCGTCCAGGTTGTTTTCGGTTTGGTCCCTGTATCGTCGTTGTCGTTCGCATCTGTCTTTGATGGTAGCTGCGTCTATGGTGAAAGCCAGAGATAGGGCGACGAATTTCTGCTCGAGTTCTTCTTCGTTGAGGCGTTCCCTGCAGGAAGGTCGGAGTTTGGTCAAGGCTGTTTGCGAATATGTCGGTTTTGAGATAATTATGACATTTGCATGAGATTTTGTCAAGGTTGAGTTAGTATTAGATGGCGGAGCAACCTTTTGTTATCGCTGGGAACGGGTTTTTTGTGGTTTCAAATCTAAACTGTGCTGTGATATTGTAGTTGGTAATATGGGATGGCTTGGTGGACGAATTTTACATAAATTGATGTTAATTGATGGTTAATTAAGATCTATGGGTTCGGGCTCTCTGGGTAATTATTGTTGTTGTATAGAGTAGTAGGGGAGAGAGTGGGGGAAGTCTACAAATTAAACACAACAAATATAAATACTGGTGAAAGGATAACAACCTTATGTAACACATTTCTATATTTATGTATATATAATACAGTTTTTATTTAATTATTAACGGCGAGAGCGCTCTGGAACTGGTGAACTTATACGAGTTCTGGTGATGCTTCGCTCGAGAAACGGAAGCATTCCAGGTATTACGGACAAAAAGTGGCCTTATTTTAGAGTGTCAGTTGGTTTTGAAAAAGCAACAAGAAAAAAAAAGAGATTTCAGAAGAATTCAGTTTCGAAAATTTAAAGTTTAGGGGAATTTGGGGTTGAAGAGAGAAGTTGAGAGAGATTCTAGAACAGGAGAGTGAAAAAGGAGATGAGCATTCAACGTTTTAGGAAGGTTTTTCAAGGCTTCTGTATTTGGAAACGAGAAAAATTTTGACTGTTGTACATGATTGAAGAAAGGAGAGACTTAGAAGATTGTCCGCGAAACCCATAGAGGCTTCTAGAATAATCCAGTGGTGAAATTTTAAACATTTGAGAAATTGAAGATGACGATTTAGAAATTTCGATTGAAAACGAAGACTAACAGAAATATCCAGTTATAGAAGAATGAATTGCGTGAAAATTTCTAGAAGGAAGTATGAAAACAAAAATTGACGTTTGAGAAGAATTCCAGTTGAAAATAGGAAGAGATAATAAAATGTGAACATCAAGGTTTTCGTATCAGAAGCGAAAACGGTAGAAAAATGTTCTAGTACTGAATTAAAGTTAAAAAAGAAGATTGACACAGTTCCAAGGATGTTTCAGAATATTCTGTTGGTGAATTGAGATACCATAGAGCAGAAAGGCATGAAAAAGGGTCGAAAATGTGAATCTTCCATGAAATTTTAAGAAAACTATAGAATTGAAGCTCACAGTCTAGAAGAATTTTGTTTTAGAACAAACAGAGATAGAACTAGACGAAAGTTCTAGAAGATTTAGCCTAAAAGGAGATTATTTTGGATTATTGTGAAGGGCGAATTCGAAAGAAATTCTAAAAGATTAGAAAATCGGAAGTGAAATTCATGACGAAATCCAACTGAAGATAGGAAAAGATAACAACATCTGGGCTTCAAAATCTAAAGAATATGGAAATAATGACGGAATTTTTCTGAAAGACATAGAGCCGTAAATGAGACACAAAATTTTACAATAGGAAAAGCTAGGAAAGTTCGTCAAGGTTTTTCTGTTCATAAACTAGAAAACTGTTGAACAGAATTGATGAAAGAAGCTTACTGCTGAAGTCTCGGCAAAGTTTTAGACCATTTTAATTTAAGTTTATTTTTGGATTTAAACTAAAGAAAGAGGTAGTTGACCACGTTTTAGGCAGGTTCTTCACAGTTTTCATATATAAAGTAGTGAGAAGAGTAGAATAGAATCGTTCTAGTACAGGATTAAAGTTAAAAAAAAACAAAAGAAATTGACAGAGTTCCAACGAGTTTCTAGAATATTCTGTTGGTGAATTGAGATACTATAGAGCAGAAAGGCATGAAAAAAGAGTCGAAAATGTGAATCTTCCTTGAAATTTTAGAAAAACTATAGAATTGTATCTCATAGTCTAGAAGAATTCTGTTTTAGAACGAACAAAGATAAAACTAGCGAAAGTTCTAGAAGATTTTAGTTGAAAGGTAGGTTATTTTGGATTATTGTGAAGGGTGAATTCGAAAAAAATTCTAGAAGATTAGAAAATCGGAAGTGAAACTTGAGACGAAATTCAACTGAAGATAGGAAAAGATCACATCTGGGCTTCAGAATCTAAAGAATATGGAAACGACGGAATTTTTCTGAAGGATATAGAGTTGAGGCACAAAATTTTAGAATAGGAAAAGCTAGGAAAAAAATAACGTTTCAGAAAGTTCTTCAAGGTTTTTCTATTCAGAAACTAAAAAGTCTGTTGAACACAATTGAAGAAAGAAAATTACTGATGAAGTCTCGGCAAAGTTCTAGAACATTTTAATTTAAGTTTAATTTTTGATTTAAACTGAAGAAAGAGGTAGTTGACCACGTTTTGGACAGGTTCTTCACAGTTTTCATATATGAAGTAGTGAGAAAAGTAGAATAGAATCGTTCTAGTACAGGATTAAAGTTAAAAAAAAAAACAAAAAAGAAATAGACAGAGTTCCAACGAGTTTCTAGAATATTCTGTTGATGAGTTGAGATACTATAGAGCAGAAAGGGATGAAAAAAGAGTCGAAAATGTGAATCTTCCTTGAAATTTTAGAAAAACTATAGAATTGTATCTCACAGTCTAGAAGAATTCTGTTTTAGAACGAACAAAGATAAAACTAGCGAAAGTTCTAGAAGATTTTAGTTGAAAGGTAGGTTATTCTGGATTATTGTGAAGGGTGAATTCGAAAAAAATTCTAGAAGATTAGAAAATCGGAAGTGAAACTTGAGACGAAATTCAACTGAAGATAGGAAAAGATAACAACATCTGGGCTTCAGAATCTAAAGAATATGGAAACAGTGACGGAATTTTTTTGAAAGATATAGAGTTGTAATTGAGGCACATAATTTTAGAATAGAAAAAGCTAGGAAAAAAATAACGCTTCAGAAAGTTCTTCAAGGTTTTTCTGTTCAGAAACTAGAAAACTGTTGAACAGAACTGAAGAAAAAAGATTTGTGGCGAAATCTCTGGAAAGTTCTAGAACATTTTAATCCAAGTTTATTTCTGGATTTAAACTGAAGAAATTTTAGGCAGGTTCTTCACAGTTTTCGTATATGAAATAGTGAGAAAGAATAGAAATGTCCTATTACAGGATTAAAGTTAAAAAAATATAAATTGACAGTTCCAAGGAGTTTCTAGAATATTCTATTGGTGAATTGAGATACCGTAGAGCAGAAAGGCATGAAAAAAAGGGTCGAAAATGTGAATCTTCCTTAAAATTTTAGAAAAACTATAGAATTGAATCCCACAGTCTAGAACAATTCTGTTTTAGAACGAACAGAAATAGAATTAGACGAAAGTCCTAGCCTAGAAGAATTTAGTTGAAAAAGAGATTATTTTGGATTATTGTGAAGGGTGAATTCGAAAGAAATTCTAGAAGATTAGAAAATCGGATGTGAAATTAGAATCCAACTGGAGATAGGAAAAGATAACAACATCTGGCCTTCAGAATCTAAAGAATGTGGAAACAATGACTGAATTTTTCTGAAAGAAATAGAGCTGTAATTGAGACACAAGATTTTACAATAGGAAAAACTAAGAAAAAAATAACGTTTCAGAAAATTCTTCAAGGTTTTTCTGTTCAGAAACTAGAAAACTGTTGAACAGAACTGAAGAAAGAAGATTTGTGGCGAAATCTCTGGAAAGTTCTAGAACATTTTAATTTAAGTTTATTTCTGGATTTAAACTGAAGAAATAGGTATTTAACCACATTTTAAGCAGGTTGTTCACAGTTTTCGTATAAGAAGTCAGTAGAGTAGAAATGTTATAGTACAGGATTAAAGTTTAAAAAAAAAATATATACTGATACAGTTCCAAGGAGTTTTTGGAATATTCTGTTGGTGAATTGGATACTATAGAGCAGAAAGGCATGAAAAAAGTGTCGAAAATGTGAATCTTTCATGAAATTTTAGAAAGACTATGCAGTTGAAGCCCACAGTCTACAAGAATTCTGTGAAGAACCTGTTTTACAACGACTAAACTTTCAAGAAGAATCTGCAAATCAGTTTATTGAATAATTGTGGACGTGGTTTTTTTCTTAGAAATTGTAAAAGGAAAATCTCTTTTTGAGTAAAATTTCAGAAATTAAAAAAATTAAATTCTAAATATCTGAAGAAAATTCGAAATTTCACACATTTTACATACTTTGTTGAGACACTTCCGCGAAACTTTACTGAGATTGTTCTCCACGTGCAATCATTTCGGCAATATAACTTTGCTCTATGATGGGTTATGAAACCGAGTGCCATCTATAAACCATACCTGTAGTTTATAAAGTTTTATATGGCGTAAAACAGCGTCTTCATTCAGTTGAATCAGTGTTAAAGCAACATCTAGACACAGCGTAGTTGCACAAGTTCGTGTCTTAAATGACAGATCCACATTTAGATTATAGTCACGCTCATATAACAACACATTTAACGAATGCCCACGTCTGCGAATATTTGTAAAATTGAAATTACGAATAATAAACAGAACAATTCGATTAGTGTTCGAAAATCCCCAGTAAAAAATAATAAATTCACGTTCTCGGCCTGGAACATTTAGCAGATCTCGGCCAGGAAACCAAAGTCGCTAATTTAAATCATCCAATCTTAACTACCCATCGCGGAACATCATTTATTCTGTAATAGTCTCTTTATAAGTCGAGTAGTACCTGACCTCACTACGTAACATAATAAAGGCAATTATTTCAGTGTTGTGACACAAAATGGAAAGTTATATGCATATAGTCCAATTCTTAAGTGGGAAGTGTGTCGCCGCAAGTTTTCAGGCAATGAACATTGACTTATCTATTATTAATGTAGCAATTTGGTACACTTTTAGCAGGTAGTTATTAAGACCAAAAATAACGTGTCTACAAAATTACAGGCTATCAAATTTCTACCATTACCCGATTATCCTACACACTTAAAAAATACCTTGGGCGCAAGAACGGTAAATATAGCTTTCCCCGATATCTCGCACAGATTTATATAAAGAAAATCGGCGGAAATTCATCGTTTATTCAAGCCGAAAATATTTTCTTTGTTCTTGTACCTCCAACCCACGCGCTATTAGGAATGCCTTACAATAACATCGCAAATCAGCCGGCAATTTCCTCAATGCTGTCACACCATCAAACGCCTTAGCTCCACCAAACAAACGAAATTTGGTCATCGCTAACGACAGATTAAGGCCAACTCTGTACAAGGAGATACGTAAACTCGTGGAGGTGGCGAAAGCATCCAAAATTCGCCAGCGAGGACTTTAACGCCCACATAAAATTTTATTGCTGGTAACGAGAGATGGCCTGCCATTTTTCGAATATGTTAAACGTTTTTATGTTATGAATGAATATAGTGGTACGTTAGACAGTGGCGTGCCTGATTTAACGCAGGGGGCGATTAAAATATGACGGTGATGATTAGTGGCAACAGAAGCTCGTGACCGATTTTCTTCACAGCGTTAAATAGATTAAATAATGGTCAGTCTCACACTAACTTGTAAGGTGTTATTTTCCGCACTCGTTCCGAAAATGGCGATTACACGAAGACGCGTTTGTGGTTACCTGGGGCCGTTCCCTAGGAGTCCCATTTTTTCCAAAACGGAGTCAGGGAGGCTCGGGAAGACCTCGAAGGGCTCCTGGTTGGGGAGGCGTTGGGTAGCCCCATCGGACATCGATCGGAGCCTCTTGAAGTCCGCATTCTGCAACAATGAAATTATTAAGCGAGTTCGCAGCTCGAATCGACCACAGCAAACCTCGTTCCTGTTCATTTGCCAGGAACAAATCCATTAATAATTTCTCCTAAATGTTTTAATCAGGCTCTGGGCTGTTTATTTATGCTGAGGTTTGGCGTGGAAAGGGGCAATAAGTTATAGAAAAGTGATGGGTGGCGGAAAAGGCCGGAATTTCCCCGAACTGGGACATCGATTTATCGCAGAGAATTCATCTTGGTGTTGGATGAGATTTTGTGATGGATCGTTGCATAGACACATTTTTTACGGTATTATAATGGATCTGTTTTGCTTATCTTTAAACAAAAACAGTCGAGATGTAATGTGAAGGTTTGTTTGCGTTATGGTTTCTTATATGAAATTATTTAAACAGATCTTTTTACATAAATAAGCAAGACGGCTTCCAGATTACAGGATTCTTGATTATTTTCTAAATATTCTCAAGCCAACGCGTGTTAAAAATATGAAAATTCCTGGCCGAGCTATCACAGGCGATCTACGTCGAAGGAAACGTGGACACCTGAAATATGGATTGTTGGGCGTGTAAGCAGTGCTTACTTTTATTTATTGCGCGTTATTGCGAACCGTACTTTATTTTTTATCAAAGTTGCAGTTTAAAGCGCCGTAAAATTCATATAATAATAAAACGAAGTCGGGAAAAGCGTAATTCCGCGATAAAATTCCGCATAATTATGTCAAAATAGGTTTCAAACAATCGCTTGGTAACAAAAAAAGTCTAAACAATACCCGTTGCGAATTCCTGGTCGGATCATTCAAATCGTATTAAGTTCTTAATCGAGCCGCTTTCCAACCAAACCTCATAAAGCCGCCTGTAATAGAAATATAATGTTGTAATTAGCCAAAGTATTTGCAAGAAAAGTAGTAAACAGTGTTAATAGGTCTCATAATATCTCCATCGCACAAGTCAAATTATTGTTAATTAAACTTGACCTCCCTCTGTTATTGAAAAATTTTTCATACAAACAAATACGGTCGTTTATTTTTATGTACATTTTTATTCGAAACTTACCAATACTATAACCCTGATCCGACAATAAAATCCTATCATTGCACATTAACGAAGAACTAGTTAAGCCACGTGTCGTCTCTTATCAGCAGAGGTCGGAATTACTAATCTGAGAGAAAACACGAACCGTTCATTGTTTATAATTATTGCATGAGAAACTGTCTCAAGACGTTTGTTCCTCGCGATTGTGACCTTTATTACACCGCATTCTCTGCTAGCACCCATGCAATTTTTCCGAAGCTACTTTTGGAAACCCACTAAAGTAAGCGTTTTGTATTTTAAGAAGCAATTTCCGAATTCCGTTTGCGCAATACAAACAATGCCCAAATTTGATTCTAGGAAATACCGAAATGTCGCTTAACCACAACGCAAATGAATTGAAATTAACGAGCAATGAACTCGTGCACGCTAAAGACTGCCGTCTAATCAGGCCGCTGACATAAAACGCGAATTTCTGACTTTTGGGTTTTTCAGGAGTTTCCGTGAAAAACACAAAGGAGTGTACTTGTGCGGATCAAAGGTGGTGTGGACGATGAGGAAATTTCGTTTGGAAATATCTCGGCTCAAATCGCATTCATAAAGTCGAGGAAGATAAATGTGCGAATTTTTATTGGAGTCAGTGGTCAAAAGTGTCGGTTTTCTTGGAGTGGGTATCGGTTTCGTCGGAGAGAGATGGGTTTCTGGTCTTGGCGTTAATCAGGAGAGATGTGTTAATGTTGTTAAATTAAATTGGTGATGATTTAGCATGTTTGTCAATAGGAGGTAATTTAGTTGAGTTGAAAGTTCAGGTTTTGTTGTTTGTTTACTTTGTTTTTAAAGTTTTACGCATGTAATGTTTTGTACTTTGTTTAAAACATGTCAGGTTTTATTTTGAAAAATACAGCTCTCGAGCAGTATTTGTTTTCTATTCGTAGAAACCTGCACCTATTTTAATCACGGGACTCAGGCTATAAAAAGTTCAGAAATGCGACAATTTTTCGAAAGTGATTCAATGATTTTTTTACATAAAAAAGCTTTTAATTAATATAATAGGATTTTTTTCGAAATTCAATTTCTGTATTGATAGAACTAGAATATGCATCGATGGCACCAGCACAACTAAATCAATATTCCAGATTTTTTTCGGAATTTTTCTTAATTTTTTCACAAGCAAAATTTTTACATAACTTTTCAGTGAAAATTTCAGCGAATTTTTGACAATTTTCGAAATTTATCTGAATACTTTTGTTTTATTAAGTTAGTTTCGGCCTCATCTCTTCGTATTACAAATTTTTGATAAAAAAGATGTATATTTTCATACCGAATAACTTTCAATCTTGTAGAATCAGAAGGACGAAATCTATATCACAGAATTTCTTGAAATTTTTTGGCAACTTTTTTGAAAGCGAAATTTTTCAGTATGAAAATTTCGGTCGGCCAATTTTCGACAATTTTCGAAGTCATTTTCGTGTAGATTTCGACATCCAGAAGTTAGTTGCGGTCTCATTTCTTCCATAGTTCCAAACAATTTTCCCGAATCGTCCACCGAAGTATTGTAATTTTTCGATAAAATAAAAAAAAATTAAATTGAATATTTTTAAAACTTGCACCGGGAGCATCATAGACGACAATACAAATTTTTTGGCAACTTTTTCGAAAACAAAATTTAAAAAAATGAAAATTTCGGACAATTTTTGACAATTTTAAAAACTTAACAAACGATATTTTCTGGTACATTTCAATCTCCAGAAGTTAGTTTTGGCCTCATTTTTTCCATAGCCCAAAACATCTTTCCAGAATCGTCCACTGAAGTATTGCAATTTTTTGGATTAAAAAAATATATATTTTCAAACCGAATATTTTACATTGGGAGCATAAAAACGCATATTTTGGGAATCAGGACGACAAAACTCTACCCCAGAAGTTTTTGGGATTTTTTTGGGCAACTTTTTCGAAAGCAAAATTTTTCAAAAATGAAAATTTCGAACAATTTCGGAAAGTTTTTCACAATTTACAAAATTTAACTGAAGACATTTTATTATAGATTTCGACCTCCAGAAGTTAGTTTCAGCTTCATTTCTTCGATAGCTTCAAACATCTTTCCAGAATCGCCTACTGACGTATTGCAATTTTTTGGATTTAAAAAAAATATCTTTTCAAACCGAATATTTTTAAATCATGCACCGGTAGCATAAAAATGCAGTATTTTAGGAATCAGGACAAGATTTGTACCCCCAGATTTTTTTGGTAATTCTTTGTCAACTTTTTCAGAAGCAACATTTTTCAAAAATGAAAATTTCGAACAATTTTCAAAATTTAACCAAGAGTATTTTCTTATAGATTTCAACGTCCAGAAGTTAGTTTTAGTCTCATTTTTGCGATATCTTCAAATACATTTCTAGAATCGCCGAATGAAGTACTGCCATTTTTTGGATTAAAAAAAAATTAAAACCGAATATTTGTAAATCTTGAACTTCAAAAATGAAAACTTTTGACAATTTTCAAAATTTAACTAAAGACATTTTCTTATAGATTTCGACCTACAAAAGTTGGTTTCAGCTTTATGTTTTCGATAGCTCCTAGCATTTTTCCAAAATCGGGCACTGAAGTACTGCAATTTTTTGGATTAAAAAAAATGAAACCGGCCATTTTTAAATCTTCTATCAGGAGAATAAAAACGTTTTTGAATCAGTATGACAATATTTAAATCCCAAAATTTTAGAATCTTTGGCAACTTTTTCCAAAGTAAAATGAAAATTTCGGATAATTTTTAACAATTTTCAAATTTAATTAAGGATTTTTTTATATTTCGACCTCCAGAAGTTAGTTTCGGTTTCATTTCTTCTATAGCTCCTAATTTTTCTAGAATCCCCCCACTGAAGTATTGCAATTTTTTGGATTAAAAAAAATATGTATGTATTTTTAAACCGAATATTTGTACATCTCGCACATAAAAATATTATATTTTTAGAATTAGAACGACAAAATATATATCCTAGATTTTTTTGGCAATTTTTTCAGAAGTAAAATTTTGCAAAATTAAAATTTCCTACAATTTTTGACAATTTTTTAAATATAATCAAAGACATTTTCTTATAGATTTCGACCTCCAGAAGTTAGTTTTTGCCTCATTTTTTCGATAGCTCGAAACATCTTTCGCCCACTGAAATATTGTAATTTTTTGGATTAAAAAAGTATATTTTAAAACTGAATGTTTTTAAACCTTGCACCGGGCGCATAAAACACAATATTTTATGAATCAGGACAACAAAATCTATATCCCAGATTTTTTTGGAATTTTTTTGGCAACTTTTTCGATTTTCAAAATTTTCCAAATTTTTCCAAAGACATTTTTGTGTAGATTTCGATCTCCAGAGTTGGTTTCGGCTTCATTTCTTCGATGGCTCCAGCATTTTTCCAGAATCGCACACTGAAGTATTGCAATTTTTGAATAAAAAAAAAATCAAGCCGATTATTTTTAAAACTTGCACCGGGAACGTAAAAACGCAATATTTTGGGAATCAGGATAAATTTTTCAAAAATGAAAATTTCGGACAATTTTTGACAATTTTCACAATTTAACCAAAGACATTTTGTTATAGATTTCGACCTCCAGCAGTTGGTTTCGGCGTCATTTTTTCCGTCGCTCTTACCATTTTTCCAAAATCGCCCACCAAAGTATTGCAAATTTTTGGATCAAAAAAAAAATTTAAACCGACTATCTATTTTTAAATCTTGTACCAACAGAATAAAAATGTTTTTTAAATCAGTACGACAAAATTTAAATCCCAGGTTTTTTTGAGAATCTTTGGCAACTTTTTCTTAAGCAAAATGAAAATTTCGGATAATTTTTGACAATTTTCAAATTTAACTAACGACATTTTTTTAATAGATTTCGACCTTAAGAACTTTGTTTTGGTTTCATTTCTTCGAAAGTTCCTAATTTTTCTACAATCGCCCAATGAAGTATTGCAATTTTTTGGATTTAAAAAAAATATATATTTTCAAACAGAATATTTTTAAACCTAGCACCGGGAGCATAAAAACGCAATATTTTAGAAATCAGGATGACAAATAAGTCTGTACCCCAGAATTTTTGCGGATTATTTTGACAACTTTTTCGAAAGCAAAATTTTTCAAAATTGAAAATTTCTTACAATTTTTGACAAATTTCAAATTTTAATCGAAGACATTCTCCTATAGATTTCGGCCCTCAGAAGTTAATTTCGGCCTCATGTTTTCAATAGCTCCAAACCTCTTTCCAAAATTGCTCACTAAAGTATTGCAATTTTTTTGGATTTAAAAAAAATATATTTCTTCAAACCGAATATTTCTAATCTCGCATCGGAAGCATAAAAACGCAATATTTTAGGAATCAGGATGACAATGTTTGTACCCCAGAATTTTTGGGGATATTTTTGACAACTTTTTCAAAAGCAAAATTTTTCAAAAATGAAAATTTCTGACAAATTTCAAAATTTAACTGAACACATTTTCTTATAGATTTCAAACTCCAGAAGATCGCCCACTGAAGTATTCCAATTTAAAAAAAATAAACCGACTACTTTTAAATCTTGTACCGGCACCAGAAAAACGTTTTTTGAATCAGTACACCAAAATTTAGATCCTAGAATTTTTTGAGAACTTTTTCTGAAGCAAAATTTTTCAAAAATGAAAATTTAGGACAACTTTTGACAATTTTCAAATTTAACTGAAGACATTTTCCTATAGCTTTCGACCTCTAGAAGTGAATTTCCGTCTCATTTCTTCGATAGTTCTTAATTTTTTCACAATTTTTTGGATTTACAAAAATATATACATACATATTTTCAAACCGAAAATTTTTAAATCTCGCACAAAAAGTACATCATAAAAATAGAATGAGGACGACAAAATCTATATTCTAGATTTTTTTGGCAATTTTTTCGCAAGTAAAATTTTTCAAAAATTAAAATTTCCTACAATTTTTGACAATTTTCAAAATTTAACTGAAGACATTTTCTTATAGATTTCGACCTGCAGAAGTTGGTTTCGGCCTCATGTTTTCGGTAGGTCCAAACATCTTTCCAAAATCGCCCACTGAAGTATTCCAATTAAAAAAAAATAAACCGACTATTTTTAAATCTTGTACCGGCACCAGAAAAACGTTTTTTGAATCAGTACACCAAAATTTAGATCCTAGAATTTTTTGAGAACTTTTGAGAACGTTTTCTGAAGCAAAATTTTTCAAAAATGAAAATTTCGGACAACTTTTGACAATTTTCAAATTTAACTGAAGACATTTTCCTACAGCTTTCGACCTCTAGAAGTTAATTTCGGTCTCATTTCTTCGATAGCTCTTAATTTTTTCACAATTTTTTGGATTTACAAAAATATATACATACATATTTTCAAACCGAAAATTTTTAAATCTCGCACCGAAAATACGTCACAAAAATAGAATGAGGACGACAAAATCTATGTCCTAGATTTTTTTGGCAATTTTGTCGCAAGTAAAATTTTTCAAAAATGAAAATTTCTTACAATTTTTGACAATTTTCAAAATTTAATTGAAGACATTTTCTTATAGATTTAGACCTCCAGAATTTGGTTTCGGCCTCATGTTTTCGGTAGGTCCAAACATCTTTCCAAAATTGCTCACTGAAGTATTGCAATTTTTTGGATTTAAAAAAAAAATATATTTTGTTAAAACCGAATATTTCTAATCTCGCATAGGAAACGTAAAAACGCAATATTTTAGGAATCAGGACGACAAAGTCTGTACCCCAGAATTTTTGGGAATTTTTTTGACAACTTTTTCGAAAGCAAATTTTTCAAAAGTGAAAATTTCCCACAATTTTTGACAAATTTCAAAATTTAACTGAAGACATTTTCTTATAGATTTCGACCTCCAGAAGTTGGTTTCGGTCTCATTTGTTCGATAGCTCCTAGTATTTTTCCAAAATCGCCCACTGCAGTATTCCAATGTTTTGGATTAAAAAAAAATTAAACCGAATATTTTTAAATCTTGTACCGGCAGCAGAAAAACGTTTTTTAATCAACGCGACAAAATTATATCTTAGAGTTTTTTTCAGAATTTTTGGCAACTTTTTCTAAAGCAAAACTTTTCAAAAATGAAAATTTCGGACAGCTTTTGACTGAAAACATTTTCCAATAGCTTTCGACCTCTAGAAGCTAATGTCGGTCTCATTTCTTTGATAGCTCCTAATTTTTTCACAATTTTTTGGGTTTAAAAAAATACATATGTTCAAACCGAATATTTTTTCGCAAGTAAAATTTTTCAAAAATGAAAATTTCCTACATTTTTGACAATTTTCACCAGATATTTTCTTGTAGATTTCGACCCTCAAAAGTTGGCTTCGATCTCATTTCTTCGATATACATTTTTTCCAGAAAAGTAGTACATTTTTTTAATAGAAAAAACAAACCGAAAATTTTTAAATCCTCGAACTGTTCAGTGCTGCGTTTTGTACAAATGTAATTTTCAGATGAAAAAAAAAAAACCAAAACAGTGTTCTTAAAACTCCTAACAAAATTAGCTCTTAAAAAAATATGCATACTTACAGTTGGCTCTTTCATCCAACTTTTATATCACTAAAATCAGTTTTAACACCAACTATCCGAAATGTATCGATTCCTCCAACACCTTTTCTGTTTTTATCAAAACCGTGTCTGTTCAAATCTCACCTATTCGGTGCAAAACGGACTAAATTCGACTCATTTAAATACAGTTTTACCACAAATTTTCAGAGTGCGCGCACGCCGACGTTATACTTTGGAACCGTCTTTAACACTAGCTGATTGCTTTTGGGAAAATTTGGTAAACATCATTGTAGGAAATTTACGACGACGAGTATGACTTTTCGATAAACATTTTTTAATTATTGGACTAAATTTGGGTTACTATTAGTTGCCAAACGTAAACAAAAATGAAACATTTAAATCACGAGGGAAAGCCACTGTGAATGACGAAAGAAACAATGTTCTAGTGACCGGGCAATAAAATTCAGAAATATTGTATAACGCTCTCTAAAATAATTAACGACCGGATATATTTTCAAACACTTCACTTATTTATGGTTTGATAGTATGAATTTTCTAGAGACACTTTTTTGGTGCCAATTAAATATATCGCTAATATGATTGTGAGTCACACCGATTTTAGAATTTTTTGAGATGACGTCATCAGTTATTTGCAGAGGATACCTACGCACTTTAGGTCTATACGATAATCTTAAAAAAAAAAATGGAATAAAACGACAGAAAAAATAGAAGCTTAATTCAAATTCTGGTAACACAATTGTTTAATTAATGCTACAGTATACACTTTAAAATTAAATTGTTTACCCACATTAAAATTGTGTTTTGTCCGACAATAATCGGATATGGTTTGTTATATGTTTAATTTAATCAGTGGTGCACAATTTAGCGTTTGTGGTAATATAATCAAAACTAGTTAAAACATTTGTCACCGCAAAAATTAATCTGTGTGCCGCAAATATAAAATCAATTATTACATAACTGGTGTGTTATGATTTAAAAAAAATAATTTCCGAAAGTTGAAAGTCACTGACAAACAATAAAAATAATGATGCACCTAGAACGGACCCTTGCGCACTTTCATATATATATCCTTGAGCTTCAAAAATTGGTGTTTTTAATTTAAACATGCAGTAGTTTATCTTCCCGCAATTACAGATCAAAACTTCCTGGTTTTCGTTCTCAGTTCCTGTGAGCGCGGTCGGTATCGACTAGTTTTGACCAACTTTCCAAGTATTCTCCAACCGAACAGATAACATTAATAATAGTCGAATAATTAGTGAATTAATCATGACTTTGGTCAATCAAAGCACATACTAGCAGCATTCCCAATGCAAAACAGCCGGTTCACATCGCTTGACCCTTTTCATTAAACACAATGGCTAAGCAATAACGCAAAGTTATTGTTGAAGCAGCTCAACATCGCCCATCCCCCGCAATTCCGCCGAACAAAAGCCGAAAAAATGCCCGACAATGGGCTGACCCTTCGAAGATGTAATCTCCTCACCTCGACCGCATTATCCTTTTGTGTTAATTCTTGCGCCGTGGATGACTTTCGCGATAAGCCCTCGACGTCTTCGCTCGAGTCCGAATGGCAACTGGAGGCACTCGACACGGACACTACGGACTCGTTCCGGTTGCGCTTGAAGGAGGCCTGAAAAAGTTCCGGGGAGTTGTTGTTCACTTCGAAGGGCATTTTCGACATTCGCGCCACGGACATGGTGTGGGATTTTCGAGCGGAGTGCTGCTCGTCGCCACGAATCGACTGAGTCGGGCTTAAGAAGAGTCGCAAGTCCCCACTCATAATTTACTCACATTTCGCGGGATGGTTATTTTACCAGTAAAAAATCATCGCTGCGACACGAATTTCGCGCTATTTTTAGCGAGGAGCGGGAAGGCTGGATGGGGAAACTAGGATTTTTGCATTGTGGGTGAAAAAGATTTTATTTTTTTAGGTGGGGTTTTCTGGCGCGTGTTTTGGGTTCTTTGATGTTTAAATTTACGTTTTTTGCGGTTTAAATTATATCGGGTTTATTCTCCCAAAGATATTTGAAAGATTTATTACTTTTCAATTTCAAAGTGACATTTTTGCTTTGCGAGCGACGTTTCTAAGCTTCTATGGTACGGAAAAGTCGGCCCCTTTTGTCAGTCATTTGTGTATTGGGGATTTTTTGAAAGATAATCTGGATTCTGAATTCGTCCCATCAATAATTTAAAAAATATATATTTTAATTTTAAACACCTATGTTACCTTACTTATTTAATATTTAAGTTTTTTGTACCGTACTTTAGTGATGTTCTTTATCTTTCTCAGTCCGTTTAATATACGGGTTTTAGACCCTTTAATTTTATGTAGTACTCTTTTACTTTTACTATTTACATAAATGATATTGTGGACTCTTTCAATGTGCACTAATTATTTTTATTAATTATAGTTAGAAGAATTTGTAGATATGACCCTTCATGTGCGAACCATCTAAAATTATTTCATATTCAGGATACATGTTCAGGATAAGTTGATATTTATCCATTTTTTCACTTTTGCTTGGTTTTAAAGACTTAATACTGTGAAAACTGTTAAAACAAAGGGAATGAACCTGAATGAATAAAAATTTTACTACGTGTATTGTTGGTTGCGAGCCATTAACACATACCAATTTTTGTGATCTAAATTATTATTGATTTTACGATTTTAGAAAAGAGATAATGTAAAGACAGCTTTTCGAAAAAATCGACATGAAATGCGAATTTATGAAAATCTCTAAATTTTCGATTTTTCGATGGTCGATTCTGGAAAAACGGGTGCTGCTATCAGAGAAACAAGGCCGGAAGTGAGTTTTAGAGTTTCAAATCTACAAGAAAATGTATTCAGTTCAGTTTCGAAAATGTCAAATTTTGGCCGAAATTTGAAGAAGGGGGGACCATTGAACAAATTTCACTTTTAAAAAAGTCGTCTAAAAATTCTGAAAAAATTCGGGAACGTAGATCTCGACACGCTGATTCCAAAAATATAGCGTGTTAATGGTCACGGAGCAACAGTTTTGAAAAAATCGACATGAAATGCGAATTTGTGAAAATTTCTAAATTTTCGATTTTTCGATGGTCGATTCTGAAAAAACGGTTGCAGTGATCAATGAAACGAGGCCGGAAGTGAGTTTTAGAGTTCGAAATCCACAAGAAAGTGTGTTTAGTTAAGTTTCGAAAATGTCAAATTTTGGGAGAAATTTGAAGAAGGGGGGACCACTGGAAAAATTTCACTTTTAAAAAAGTCGTCTAAAAATTCTGAAAAAATTCAGGAACGTAGAGCTCAACACGCTGATTTCAAAAATATAACGTGTTAATGGTCACGGAGCAATAGTTTCGAAAAAATCGACATTAAATGCGAATTTGTTAAAATTTCTAAATTTTCGATTTTTCGATGGTCGATTCCGGAAAAACGGTTGCTGCTATCAGAGAAACGAGGTCGGAAGTGAGTTTTAGAGTTTGAAATCTACAAGAAAATGTATTTAGTTAAGTTTCGAAAATGTCAAATTTTGGCCGAAATTTGAAGAAGGGGGGACCATTGAAAAAATTTCGCTTTTAAAAAAGTCGTCTAAAAATTCTGAAAAAATTCAGGAAGTAGATCTTGACACGCTGATTCCAAAAATATAGCGCGCTAATGGTCACGGAGCAACGGTTTCGACAAAATCGATATTAAATGCGAATTTGTGAAAATTTCTAAATTTTCAATTTTTCGATGGTCGATTCTGGAAAAACGGTTGCTGCTATCAGAGAAACAAGGCCGGAAGTGAGTTTTAGAGTTCGAAATCCACAAGAAAATCTATTTAGTTAAGTTTCGAAAATGTCAAATTTTGGCCGAAATTTGAAGAAGGGGGGACCATTGGAAAAATTTCACTTTTAAAAAAAGCGTCTGAAAATTCTGAAAAAATTCGGGAACGTAGATCTCGACACGCTGATTCCAAAAACATAGCGTGTTAAGGGTCACGAAGCAACAGTTTCGAAAAAATCGACATGAAATGCGAATTTGAGAAAATTTCTAAATTTTCGATTTTTCGATGGTCGATTCTGAAAAAACGGTTGCAGTGATCAATGAAACGAGGCCGGAAGTGAGTTTTAGAGTTCGAAATCTACAAGAAAAGGTATTTAGTTCAGTTTCGAAAATGTCAAATTTTGGCCGAAATTTGAAGAAGGGGGGACCATTGAAAAAATTTCACTTTTAAAATGTTGTCTAAAAATTGTGAAAAAATTCGGGAACGTAGATCTCGACACGCTGACTCCAAAAATATAGCGTGTTAATGGTCACGGAGCAACGGTTTCGAAAAAATCGACATTAAATGCGAATTTATGAAAATTTCTAAATTTTCGATTTTTCGATGGTCGATTCTGAAAAAACGGTTGCAGTGATCAATGAAACGAGGCCGGAAGTGAGTTTTAGAGTTCGAAATCCACAAGAAAGTGTGTTTAGTTAAGTTTCGAAAATGTCAAATTTTGGGAGAAATTTGAAGAAGGGGGGACCACTGGAAAAATTTCACTTTTAAAAAAGTCGTCTAAAAATTCTGAAAAAATTCAGGAACGTAGAGCTCAACACGCTGATTTCAAAAATATAACGTGTTAATGGTCACGGAGCAATAGTTTCGAAAAAATCGACATTAAATGCGAATTTGTTAAAATTTCTAAATTTTCGATTTTTCGATGGTCGATTCCGGAAAAACGGTTGCTGCTATCAGAGAAACGAGGTCGGAAGTGAGTTTTAGAGTTTGAAATCTACAAGAAAATGTATTTAGTTAAGTTTCGAAAATGTCAAATTTTGGCCGAAATTTGAAGAAGGGGGGACCATTGAAAAAATTTCGCTTTTAAAAAAGTCGTCTAAAAATTCTGAAAAAATTCAGGAAGTAGATCTTGACACGCTGATTCCAAAAATATAGCGCGCTAATGGTCACGGAGCAACGGTTTCGACAAAATCGATATTAAATGCGAATTTGTGAAAATTTCTAAATTTTCAATTTTTCGATGGTCGATTCTGGAAAAACGGTTGCTGCTATCAGAGAAACAAGGCCGGAAGTGAGTTTTAGAGTTCGAAATCCACAAGAAAATCTATTTAGTTAAGTTTCGAAAATGTCAAATTTTGGCCGAAATTTGAAGAAGGGGGGACCATTGGAAAAATTTCACTTTTAAAAAAAGCGTCTGAAAATTCTGAAAAAATTCGGGAACGTAGATCTCGACACGCTGATTCCAAAAACATAGCGTGTTAAGGGTCACGAAGCAACAGTTTCGAAAAAATCGACATGAAATGCGAATTTGAGAAAATTTCTAAATTTTCGATTTTTCGATGGTCGATTCTGAAAAAACGGTTGCAGTGATCAATGAAACGAGGCCGGAAGTGAGTTTTAGAGTTCGAAATCTACAAGAAAAGGTATTTAGTTCAGTTTCGAAAATGTCAAATTTTGGCCGAAATTTGAAGAAGGGGGGACCATTGAAAAAATTTCACTTTTAAAATGTTGTCTAAAAATTGTGAAAAAATTCGGGAACGTAGATCTCGACACGCTGACTCCAAAAATATAGCGTGTTAATGGTCACGGAGCAACGGTTTCGAAAAAATCGACATTAAATGCGAATTTATGAAAATTTCTAAATTTTCGATTTTTCGATGGTCGATTCTGGAAAAACGGTTGCAGTTATCAAAGTATCGATACCGGAAGTGAGTTCTGGAGCTCGAAATCTACAAGAAAATGTATTTAGTTAAGTTTCGAAAATGTCAAATTTTGGCCGAAATTTGAAGAATATTGGACAAATTTCACTTTTAAAAATGTCGTCTAAAAATTGTGAAAAAAATCAGAAACGTAGATTTCGGCATGCTGATTCCAAAAATATAGCGTGTTAAACGTCACGGAGCAACGGTTTCGATAAAATCGACATTAAATGCGAATTTGTGAAAATTTCTAAATTTTCGATTTTTCTATGGTCGATTCTGGAAAAACGGTTGCTGCTATCAGAGAAACGAGGCCGGAAGTGCGTTTTAGAGTTCGAGATCTACAAGAAAATGTATTTAGTTAAGTTTCGAAAATGTCAAATTTTGGCCGAAATTTGAAGAAGGGGGGACCATTGGAAAAATTTCACTTTTAAAAAAATTGTCTAAAAATTCTGAAAAAAAATCAGGAACGTAGATCTCGACACGCTGATTCCAAAAATATAGCGTGTTAATGGTCACGGAGCAACAGTTTCGAAAAAATCGACATGAAATGCGAATATGTGAAAATTTCTAAATTTACGATTTTTCGATGGTCGATTCTGAAAAAACGGTTGCTGCTATCAGAGAAACGAGGCCGGAAGTGAGTTTTACAGTTCAAAATCTACAAGAAAATGAATTTAGTTAAATTTCGAATAGTAATAGTATTTTTTTATCATCTTTAGGAGATTGATGACATCACACAAGTAGTTGAAAAATGGTGCTGACGTCATTGAATGGCTCTGATTGGTAGCTGCACCTGCGCCCAATTTCAAAGTTTGCAGACGAACTGCCGAAACTCACGTACTATATATATAACACCGTTCTTTCTCAAACAACAATTTTTAACTTATTTATTGACTAAAATATATGTATTTATCCTATTAGAAAGTAGATGACATGCAAATATATTATGGTCAAAATCTGACACATTGTGCTGACTCAACACGTCCTTCCCACAGTTTTTCCACTTTACGACGTGTAACAAATCACGTGTGTTTAAAATAAAAAAAATTCCTTCAAAAATATTAAGCGGGTATAACTTGTATCGAAATTATTTACCTGAAACAAAAAAAAGTAAAATAATTTGATTGTTGGAGGAGTTCTGCGTAAATAAATCCCTACATCTTTCTACGCCGAAATAAGTGCAGAACTTCACTGAAAACAAATAAACGAACAGGAAACGCTGCCTGTATTTATTGTTTTAAAGGATTTGTTTGATTTATAGCCAAACATGTTTTAAATGCGGCTGCCTTGCTAATTCATAGAATAACGACAACATGAAATTTATTTTTTCTAACAACATAATTCTGCCTGCAATAAAGCGAAGTAATGTATTTACACGTGCACAAGTAAAAAAGCTGGCAAGGATGAAAAAAAACTCGTTTTTGTGCATGAGTAATTAATTCACCTCGCATGTTTTCTCGGAAATTTTGTATTAATAAAGGTTGTTCATAATAGTGCGATAAACTATAAAGTAAATGTATTATTATTGTAATTACATTGTCATAGGAAAGCAGATATTTACTTTAGTGTTTGATAACGAGTTAATTATCAGTTGCATTTCCTGCACACACTTCCTATGAAGGAAATTTACTATTAATTACGCGTGAAATAAAACCCAATAATTCCACAGTAGTTTTAATAAAATGCTTAAAATCAACAACAGCAAAAAAATGTATAGAAATCACGTCACTCGATGTAAAGTACACTGTAAATTTCCACTTAAAATTTAAATATCTTTAAGTACTGAGAGCTCTAATATTGTTCATGTACAAACAATGCATCAAAAAGAGAATTTCCTTAGAATTTAAACCCTGCTAAAAATAGATCAAACATGACCTCAATTTTACTGCACTCTGAAAGATGTATTTCATCTTAATTAAGTAAACAACAATATTTTATGTGTCAATAATTAAGTCAGTTTGATCCGGCTAATTATGGCTCTTATGACATCCATAGTCTGGTCATCTTCCAAAACTATATCAAACGTGTCCATGTAAGCAGGTAAATTTCCTTCCACCTACAAACAAAAATAAACATTGGAAGTAAACACTTTTTTTTCAAATAACAACCTTTTCAAAAATAAACCCAATTTTAAGTATGTGATTGGCGTGCTCTATCCCGTCCGCCATCCTAGCGTCACCTAACGAATCTCCTAACAAAATTACGTTATTGCGATTTTTTACTATGTCATAATATTCAGAGTTTTTAATAGCATATTCGTTTTTATTAAGAACGTGAATTAGGGGACCTTTGAAGCCTGTAATAATACCACTGTCATCGTATTTTAGGAAGTTTGATATCACCTACAAACGAGATAATTTTAATTGGTGTTTTTTTTTAAGGTAAATATAATTATTGCCTTCACATTTGGTAAGTACACATCATAGTGTTTTAAAACTGAGACCACCGTATTGCCTAGACCTGCTGAAAAAATTAGCACTGGCACGTCGTGCTCAGACAAGGTTTGGAAGAGCTCCTTAGTGCCATCTCTTAAGGAAGTTGCTAGGTTTGCCACAGCCTCATCGATTTCTTTGGCGCTTACCATCAACCCACTACAAACAACATTCACATGTTTAAATTAATTCCATAAAGTTGATATACATTACTGTAAAGCCTTCTCCGACTGCGACCACCACTCCTGCATTAATTCGCGCTTCTCGTTTTCCGGAATGGTAGGATCATACTCCATCGGGTGATATTTTGAGTATATTTGGTGCGACTTTTCCTTGTACTCGTCCGTGAGCGACGGACAGTACCCAAACATCCCTAAAAAACCCTCCGTTACCCCCATCAACTCCACCCATCACCCCCAACTTACTAAAACTACTCAAGTGTCTTTTCCCATTCTCGTGCTGCTTGGTGATTGTCAAGTCGAAATCCGACACAATTTGCAACTGTTCGAAACTGCCATTAATAATCCCGTTCAGTTTAACATTGAGCTTCTCTGGGTCTTTGATGTGCACGTGCGGTTTATTCAGCTCGTTAATTTCATTTACGAAATTTCGTGCCATTTCTTCTAACCTAAAAATAGAGCACGTCAGTTTGACAGACCTCGGTTAAATCCCCAGGTTCGCGCGGGAGATTCAAACGAAGGCTCACGCTTGCACGCTGCCGCTCCGGGTGATTTTTTCCAGCCATTTTTGCACGAGAATTTTGAACAGGCCTTTCAGCATTCGAGCCGGAGTATTTTTCAATTAATTTCGGGCGTTACCTAACAATTTGCTGTTTGCGTCGCAGGTATTCGGGCCATTGTTGGATTCGTTCTATTGTCCTTTAATCAAAAAGCTGGTATTTCTGCAATTATTTTCGTTTAATTACTAACAAAATAGCGAAAGAATGCGGGGTTATTATTGTCGGGAATAGTGTGTCTGCTGAATCCGGGTCAAAGTTGTGGGTGGATTTCCGGGCGAAATGGGTTATTTGTGGGAAAAGTGGGGCATAATTTGATTATTATTTTTTTAATTTGGGTTTTGGTTGCTATTTTGAAATGTTGGTGTTTATGTGGTAGTTCCGGATACATGGCACTGTTTAATATTTAAAGTGTGATTATTGATTTAATTTTGTATTTTTAGTCAAACTATAAACAACTTTTTCGCTGAGGAAGATAATCAGTTATAAAAAAAGTGTGGGTTGGGTTTTATCAAATATTTTAAGATGACGTCATCAGTTCTTTGGAAGGGATAGACGGACGTATTTGATTGGTTTTTTGCTATATACGTGCGTGAAATATGTTAAATTTATTCTGTAGTTATTAAAATATCATCGTGTGTTGGAACGAAATTAGTTTTTTCTCCAAAAAGTTAAAAACGTGAAAAATTATGTTTAGGATAAAATTTATTTTTTATATTGCGTCAATTAATCATCGAGTTTCCATGTTTGCATATTTCAGTCATAGTTTATTCACGATGGTAATAAATCTGAAGTCGTGAAAAATAGCAGACACTGAACTTGAAGTTTGTTATAAAAATGATGTATAATGTGCAAATGGGTTATTTTCCGTCATGGTAAACAATGTTTGTACAAGTTATTTTCTTAGTGAAACGAACAGACATATTATAAACATATGAAGTAAAAAAAATAAAATAAAATAAAGGTTACAAGTCAGGAGAAAAATTGAATAATTACTCTTTTTGAAAGTAATATAATTTTTTTGACCGAAATCGCATTTTTCTTCATTATATGAAATATGAATTCCTTAGAAATATATATCTATGTGAAGTTCAGTGTCCAAAATTTTTCCATATGGATTCCGTTTTTTGGATCGGTTTAGGTAATTTTAATTTTTGACAAAAATGGTGGAGGTGCCGGGATAACAAATAATTTAAAAGTTATTTGTTTCGAGAATTTCTTACAAAGTCTATTTGAAGTTCAGGATAAAATAAACAAGGAGGAGAAAAATCGAGCACTACAAATAACTCTTTTCCAAAATAGTATTAATTTTTTGTCTAAAGTCGCACTTTTGTCCGTTATATGAAGAGATCCGGCGGAAAAAGGCACAATTTCATGATCCTGTGAAAATTAGCTAGAAGAATACGTCTTCTTTGGACCGATTTACGTAATTTTAAATTTTGATAAGAATGGTGGAGGCGCCGGGATAACAAATAATTTAACAGTTGCTTATTTCGAGAATATCTTAGAAATGTCCAAGTGAACTTCAATATAAAATAAGAAAAAGGAGAATAATTGAGTAAAACAAAGTATTGTTTTTGAAAGTAAAATTAATTAATTTTTTGACTGGGAGCACATTTTTCTTCATTATACGAAGAAATTCGGCGGTAATAAGTGTGATTTCATATCTTCGCGATTCTGAGAAAATTTGCGATTATAATGATTCTTTTTGAACTGATTTAGGTAACTTTAGTTTTTGACAAAAATGGCACTGGTCGCTGGGATAACAATATAAAAGTTATCTTTTTCTAGAAGTTCTTAGAAATATCTACGTGAACTTCAGTATCAAATAAGAAAAGAAGAGAAAAACTGGCCAAGATAAAGTTCTTTTTCTCAAAACGAGTGAAATTTTTTCACTAAAACATATTTATCTTCATTGTATGAGGAAATTTGGTGAAAATAAGCACAATTTCGTGATCTTGAGAAAATTTTCCATAAGAATGATTTTTTCTAGATCGATTTGGGTAATTTTAGTTTTTGACAAAAATGGTGGAGGTGCCGGGATAACAAATAATTTACAATTTATTTGTTTCTAGAATTTCTTGCTATGTCTACGTGAAGTTCAGGATAAAATAAAGAAAGAGGCATTTTTTGTCTAAAGTCGTATTATTCTTCGTCATATGAAGAGACACAGCTCTTGTTTTGGACCAATTTAGGTAATTTTTGAAAAAGTGGGGGAGGAGCTTAGATAACAAATAATTCAACAGTTGCTTATTTCGCGACTATCTTAGAAATGTCCAGGTGAACTTCAATATAAAATAAGGAAAAGGAGAATAATTGAGTAAAACAAAGTATTGTTTTTGAAAGTAACATTAATTAATTTTTTGACTGGGAGCACATTTTTCTTCATTATACGCAGAAATTCGGCGGGAATAAGTGTGATTTCATATTTTTGTGATTCTGAGAAAATTTGCGATTAGAATGATTCTTTTTGAACTGATTTAGGTAACTTTAATTTTTGACAAAAATAGCGCGGTTCGCTAGGACAACGATATATAAGTTATTTTTTTCTAGAAGTTCTTAGAAATATCTACGTGAACTTCAGTATCAAATAAGAAAAGAAGAGAAAAACTGACCAAGATAAAGTATTTTTTCTCAAAATGAGTGAAATTTTTTCTACTGAAAACATTTTTCTTAATTATATGAGGAGATTTGTTGAAAATAAGCACAATTTTGTTATCCTGAGAAAAGTTTCCACAAGAATGACCATTTCTAGATCGATTTGGGTAATTGAAGTTTTTGACAAAAATGGGGGAGGCGCCGGGATAACAAATAATTTAAAAGTTATTTGTTTCGAGAATTTCTTAGAGATGTCTACGTGAAGTTCAGGATAAAATAAGGAAGGGAGAGGGAAATTGGGGCCGACGAAGTACTCTTTTTAGACCAATATTAATTTTTTGTCTAAAATCGCATTTTTCGTCGTTACATGAATAAATTCGGCGGAAACAAGCTCAATTTTATAATCCTGAGAAAATTTGCTGTAAGAATGATCCTTTTGGACCAATTTAGGTAACTTTAATATTTGGCATAAATTACACTGGTCAACAGCTAAGCTCTAACTTTTATTATAGCAGTCAATTATTATTTAATTAGCAATTTTAAATGATATTATAAAGGGCTAAACCAAAACTTAGCTCTCATTTAAAAGTAATCTTAAAATATTATCCTTTGAAAAATACAAAAATCGTACTATTAAGTAATAGGAAACTTTCTATCAGGTGTATTTTTTTGTAATCAAATTGCTACAAACTTCTTGGGAAACAATAAGAAAACTACGTTTAATAAGTAGAAGACATGTTATCATCATATAAAAAATTTAAAATTAGCATATTCTTAAAAGTGCATTTTATACACTCGCACCTTGATTTTTTCCCCAAAAATTGTGACGACGTGAGTGACCATCATAGAGAACGCATCCATCTGGGCATTTTGTCGATAGAAAAACGTTACCAAGATCGATGGAACACCTAAATGCTCGCAGAATACTGCGGGACCATCAAGCGAGAGATCTCCAATAAAATCTATAGGAGGCAACCGAAAAAACGTCGGTCTTCGCTGTTTCTTTTGTTTTTTTCGTTTTTTAAACTACATTCGTTGTTTTTTTTCTTATTTATGGTTGTTCTTTTGTTAATACTACACTTTTTGCCGTTAAAGATACAAAAATTAAATTGTTTTACCTGATTTTGTGTTTCTAACATCAAATATGCATATTTTTTTAATTGAGCTAAGTTTTAAGATTTATGCTCTTTGTTACAAACACAGAGACAAATTAAACGAAAACATTACAATTATGTCAAAGTTAGAGAGAAAAAATTAAATTTTGTTGACCAGTGTTATTGGTTCAGCCACTGGGAAAACAAACCAGTCTAAAAGCGCATTTTTCTATTAAACGAAGAGATACGCCAGAAATAAGCACAATTTCGTGGTCCTGAGAAAATTCGGTATAACAATGATCCTTTTTATATCGGTTTAGGTAACTTTAGTTTTTGAGAAAAATGGTGGAGGCGCCGGGATAACAAATAATACTTACAAGTTATTTGTTTCCAGATTTCCTTAGAAATATCTACTTGAAATTCAAAACAAACTAAGAAAAGAAAAAGAAAGGAGCTAGATAAAGCACTCCTTTTTTAAAACAATATTCACTTTTTGTCTTTAAGCGCATTTTCCTTCGTTATCTGAAGAAATACGACGGAAATTAGCCCAATTTCGTGATGTTGAAAAAAATTTGCTATAAAAATGATCGTCTGTGATCTGACTTAGCCTGAGATGACTGATTTAGATAAGTTTAGCTTTTGGCATAAAAATGGTGGAGCTGCCGGGATAATAAATAATTTAAAAGTAATATATTTCGGATATTTATAAGAAATGTTTTCCTTTAAATATTTTGCCGTCTGAACAAATTACCAAAGCAAACACAAAACTGGTTTGAATTTAGAACCGATCTGAACAATTCGATTTTTTTCATTAAAATGGAAAGACGCTAGGCAAATCAACATTTATTATTATAAACATAATTATTTCAGGAAGCTTCTTCATGAGAGAACATTTTGTTCAATTAAGCACAGTAAGGGCGTAAAGAAACAAGTCAGAAACAGAAACTCTATATATTTAAATATGATGATTTGAATAAACAATTGTTTTGTTACGAAGAGAAATGTACTTTGGTTAGATAAAAAACTACTCTGCGTTACAATAACGAATGTGTTTATCTTATAATTTGGATCTGCTTTCACACAAAGCCCAGATGAGTTTATTTTGTGGTGGACATAAGATACATAACTAATAGTCAAAATTGCTGTTTCCCCACCGACCCTTGTACCTATTAGTTTCAGGTCGTATTTTGCGGCGGATGTACGATACGGGATTTTAAATAACAC